ACAGCTCATTTCCCCCCCCAAAAAAAGAAGAAAAACACTAGATAACAAAGCTCTGAAATGATCTGGCTTATGTGCGCCTGTGGTCTGCTGACAGACTGTTTTAGGAATTTTATTCTATTTTTTTAAGGAAACAACTGGACTGTTCAGGCTTGGATTGTTATGGGAGAATGCTGGTAAGGTCCCAAAACACCGCATTAAAGTATGGGTAATAGTCTGGCTAAACAGCAGAACTCAGCGATTGATCACACAAAGCAGTGAACAAGCTGAGGAAAGAAATGGAAGCAGCGAAGCACAGATGGAGAGATGGAGTCAAACATGTAAAGGGAGCGGACGAAATGAAAGCCCGCACCTTTCTCTTTTGCTTTAAAAGAAAAAAGCAAAAGCCATACTGAGTGGCAGTAACCATCTTTAAAGAGCTCTTTTGTTGTGTAATGTAACATTTCTGATCTCCCAATTTAATCTCCCATTTCTTTCCTGTCTCCACTAAACCAACTATCTTATCCTCTTCTACTTATTGTGCTGGTTTCTTCCACAACTTTCTGCATTGTCAGAAAGTTGTGTTTCGCTGCTGTTTGAGCAGCAAAGCAAATACCAATTTCCGCTCCCACTGTAGAACCATCATCATCTGAAACACAGCGAACATCTGGTGTGGACTAAATTGGCTGAATACCAGAAACAGTTGTTGCTCCTATTGCTTACTGAGTGAATGTGAATCTGGTTGTAATTTCGTTTCCTGCTCATGTTGGTTTGCGTTTGACTGCGTTTTCTAAAGTGGTAATCAGAGAACCGTAGTGAATGTTACATTATGCCGTCTAAAACTGAGTCATCTGAAGTTGTTTTTATTCACATTTGGAGAAGCACGATTTTGTTATTTTGAAAAATGATTCATTTACAAATATGTATATTCCATACGCTAATAGAGGTGCATCTCAGAAACTTAGAATGATTAATTACACACGTAGTAACGTATTTCAAGTATTTAAATTGGTTAATTTAGCTAATAATGGATTCCAGGCAGTGATCATTTAGAATTTAAAAAAAGCATGCTGTATTGCTTTAAACAAGTAAAAACAATTCTCTCACACATGAGAGGCTGAATTTGAGGCTTTTATCAGATGAAAGCTATATCACTCTGCAGAATGAATATACATAAATATGAGTATCTTTGTTGTACGAGTGCAAAAAAATTTGTAAATAAGTCACAAGAAATCAAATTAAGTTTATCCAAGTTAATTTTTTTTACTTGAAACGCAAAAGCTAAATTTGATTAACGTTATTTTTTTATTACTCCTGGCCAGTTAATGCTTTTTTTTTCAGTGTATGTAAGACGACAGGAAACACAACCTGTGGTTGCAGCTTGCATATAAATATGAGCTGTGCTTGTTGCATTTACCAAAGAGGAAAAAATAGACACCTTTCGTCATAATTACAAAAAAACATATCACTACGAGACTGTGAAATAAGGTGTCTATTATTTTTTCTTTGCTAAATGCAATGTACTACTCAGCCTAGGTTTGGTGGAAAGAAGAAGAAAATAAAGGCTTTATTTTGCCCTCACTGTGAGAACAGAAGATTCCATACAAACAGAAGCACCATCTGTGCAGGAGAAGCAGCACCCGTCATATTGGAGCAGACAGCTGCCACCAGCTGAGAGTGGCTTATAAACAATGCAGGGGGTCAAACATTAAAAAAAAGCCTCCCATCTACCGTCTAACTACATACAAACATGGGCATGTGGGGGGTCCACATACCAAGAACGTGGTTAATTATTCAGCCCATCTCTCTGCAATCCATTATGCTGCATGTATTATACATCCTACTGCCAGCAACATGCCTGCACAGCCCCTTTTCCCTGCACCGCCTTATCCAGAACCAGCGCTGTGCTACAAACACACTGCAGCGAAGGTGAGGGCGAACAGCCTGGAGCCACTCCTCCTGCACGCCAAACATGCACATCCATCTCCCCCGTTCTGTCATCAGTCAATGTGGCAAAATGTGATGTATGCCTGCTGCTGGTTCCAGCTCAGCGGTCACGCTGAAAGCGGTTCTTATTTACACCAGCCCTCTCGACAACACGTGTTCCTCATCGTAACCCCCATGGAGGGGCCTTGTGACACTATTCACACCTCTGGATTTTTTTCAAATAGTCGGTCAGCGGGATATTTTTATGCATTTTATTGATATTTCTATTATCTTTCTGGTGATCAACGTCTGAAAAAGTGTGTCATTTTGTATTGAGTCTCACTTAGCCAATACCATTAGAGAAAAATGCATGTAATCATTGATTCTGGTCTTTTTTGGGTAACATCTCTGCCAGCTGGATCAGACTATAGAAAGGGCTCACGAGGGCAATAGTTCAGGATTTTGGGGGGCAGGCCCAAAGATTTTTTTTGTTGAATATATACTATATTTCACAAATATTTTACTGTGTATAAAGCTAAAAAGTGCAAATTAGGTGAGTTTTATTAATACTTTCAGGATTTGTACTAAAATAAGCCACATTTAAATATTTGAAAATGAAAATGCTATAGTAGATTTCTTTGGAAACAACATGGAGTTATTGGCTATTCCTACAGGAGACTACCTGTAATCTGCATCAGTAAAATCTTTTTTTTTCCCTTAGTGCACAAGGCACTAAAACTCAAAACTGACTCCAGCCCAGGAGCCCACATTGTTTTAAGTCCGGCCCTGTTTGCCAGATTTGCACATCCAGAGTCAGAAATGTTATTTGTTCTGATTTAAAAAATAGGTCAGTCAGATCAGATGTGACCATCAATTCTCACATCCTTCAAAAGATTCTGAATTTTATGTTGATCTGGTCTTTGACTAGGCCATTCTAAGACATTGTAGCGCAGAGGGACATCTTGTATCTGGCTGTGGTCTTCATCACACCAAATCTGACCACGTTATCCCCGACCCGACCACAGGAATAGTGTGTTCAGGATTATTTAGGTTGATTTTATTCCAGACACAGAATAGTGTTTTTATACATTATACTCTTTTAATTAGGCTATTATTTTTTAATCATTTTTTATTTTATTATTTTTTGCAAATTGATGCCATTAAAATAAACTGAATAGAAATGACCCTCCCACTTCACTACGACGCCTCATTTTGCTTTATGTTGTCAGATAAAATGCCAATGAAATGCATTTTGTTTGCTTTTGTAATGCGATAAAATGACAAAACAGTTCATGCCCATATTGGCTCTTTGTATGCCAAAAATAGCAAATTCAGGTGGTGACTAATTAAGACATCACCACCTTTAACTTGATATTTTGTCAGTTTCTTAAGTGTGCAGGGCCCACACTCCTGTTGAAGCACCTTTCACAAAATACTGTGTCAGAAAAACACCTGCTTGATGAAATCAGAGCACGGTGTTGGTTATTAAAATATTTCAGGAGCACATCTTAAAACTCTTCAAAAGCTTCCGTCCTACCCAGCCTTTCATGGCTTCACATTTTACGTGAGCAGAATGATGGCTTTCCTCTTCCAGCTGATGCTCTCAAAGTGAGCAAAGTGGTGTGAAGCAAAAAAACAAACAAAAAAAAAAAAAAAACCTATATATTTAAAAAGCTACAGCAAAATGTCTTTTGTTAAGCTTTTGCTCGATAAATTGGACTTTTCTGATTCGTAGCATCATGTACAGGGCGTCTTGAACAGAAGTGACTGAGCATGAATTAAAAACAGATCCAATATCATGACAAACTGATCTGGCTCAAAGTGCCTCAAAGTATTTCTATCCCCTGAAAAAAAATCTGAAAGGTGTGCCGTGAATTTGAATTCAATCTCCATTTATATTGGTACTGCGAACGCCATTTAATTTGTGCAAAGTCCATAGAATTGATTTGAAGGTAGAGAAAACTGGATACAAGATGTTTCTGGTAAAAAGCCTGTTAAATCATGCAGAAAAGCCAGGCTTCTAGCAGGACAACAAGGTGCAGCATGTTACTGTAAAAGTGTGGATATGCATGTAAAAGCTAGCATGATTACTCCTCAGGTCGTTTTTTTTTTCACATTTCCCATTTGAGAATTGAATTTCAAAGTGACAGCCATTTGACAGCAATTTGAGCCTTTTAAGCCAATTATTGACATAAAAGGTTGCCCATTTTCATAATTTGGATGAATTTTATGCCACATATGTTTTCGACTGTGGCCGTTCTATTCAGACAACTTTAAAGAAATAATATGTAGCAAAACCAGAAACTGAGAGCTTTCCTCTTTGCAAGTCACCAGCTGGGAGGAGATGATTCTGTGTGACAGAGAAATAGACATCTTAATGGTTTTGATGTGTTTAGCAGATTAGCTTGAGCGGAGCTCATTTTTCAAGTATACTGACTTAGCGTTACCGACTTCGGCTAATTTTATGTGTTTAGGGATTTAGCATTAGTTTCTGATCATTTTTTTATGGTTTAGCTGTGGATAAGATTTTTATTTAGCCCATTAGTGGTTAGAAAACCTAACTTAGCATAGGCTTGCTTTCCCCCCCCCTCCCCCCAAAAAAACGCTAGCCACTGAAAAATTCAAGATGGCTGCTGTGGTTGTCAAAGAAAATACATTTTTGCGTGAAATTTGCCAACATTTGCCACAGATGAACACTTTTGGTGTAGAATCATATATCATTCAAGCCGTAGACGATATATTTACTGATACTTTTATAATTTTTCAAGACCACAGTTGTCATGGAAAAATAACTTTGCACCAACAGTTAGATTAATGTGTTTGGTGTCAAATCATAGCTTGCATATTTTGAACCATACATATCATATGTATTTTTTGATCTTTTGTTCCCATTTTCTGGTGGGCATTTTTCAAAATGGTTGTAATGGAGAACACGTTTGAAATAGAAGCCTAGAAAAAAGCTTCTGTAGCCGCATGTGAAGGGCTTAGCTAAAATATTCAATTATCTAAGCACACAACCAGAGCTACATTGTAGTGGCGCAGAGCAAGAAAATGTAAAGCAAAGAATCCCTCCAGCTTTTTGTTTTGCAGACACTGACCTCCATGCTGGTGAGATTACAGCGATGAGTCCCGGCAAACCAGCCACTGCTGGAACACTGGTCAATATCCACATCCTGAAGGTTCACATCCACACGAATAACCCCCCTGTTGATAAAAAAAAGAGAAAACAGGAAGAGATAAGGCATGAGAGGAAAAGGAGCAGACAAAGAAAATGTAAATCGCTGCATGGAAATCAATAGGGAGTTGGATTAAAGGACATGTAAAAATGAAAATGAGAATCAGGTTAATGTTGTAAGAGTAAAAAAAATAAAATAAAATAAAAGACGAGACGGGAAATAATTGAAGGTCATGAGAGGGTGAGACGGGGGAAAGGACCCAAGTGAACGAGGGGAGACAAAAAGGAGCCAACAAAATTGCATTAGATTAGATAAATCGCAAGAGGGACAAGAGGCCAGAAGAGAAGGCAGAAACTCAGGAGGCTGGAATGAAAGACAAGGAAATTAACAGGAAGAGCCGTTCTCAGAGGAAGTCAGGTCAAATCTGTTGGAGGCAGAAATAATTGAAAGAAGTGGATCGAAATGGGAAAGAAATGCAGAACGATGGTGATGGAGATGATGAAGAGCAGAGATAAACATTCGAGAATAAAAACCGGAGTCAGATTAAATGAGACTTTCCGCTGGGTAATCTTCTGATGTAACTAACAATGACCAACTGTAATCACTTAGAAAATTCAGCTTCAGCACGTTTGAAATGATTTAGAAACCTCTTTGCTGTGAATGTTTTGTGTGTTTTTGCTAAAATAATACTATGTTTTTTTAAGGGAATGGTGTTTCTGGTGGGGTTAAACTACTATTTTGATGAGCATGCTTTGTCAATTAAAGCAAAATGTCTAGTTGTGCAAACTGATCATTCCAACACATTTCCTCCTTGTCTTTTTCGCTGCGAAACATCAATGTGGGTTTTTTAAAGATGCACCTCTTTAGTGAAATTTTGGGCTTTGATTAATTCAGGCCATTTCTTTTCCAAGGTGTAGTGATTATGTAACACACAACCTTTTGCAGAGAACAGAGAATTGGGTGTGGGCCAGTTTTCCTGATCCACACAGAGTCAAAATGATCTATAGTGGCTAAAATATCTGGAAATATAACCCGAGATGTAAATACAGCGTAAAAAAGTACATTTTTTCACACCATTAGGCATTTACTTTCTGCTTTAGGCCAAATAGAGTTACTAAATGCTTTGATTAATCATTTTGAAAAAAAATGTGCTCAATTTAGGGCTACCTTTTAAACTACATAACATTGGTCAAATGTATGATCCTACAAGCAACAGTTTTGCAAGTCAATGTTTTCTAGTCAAAAGCATTGACTTTGTTGCCTTATGTAGCTACTCTGGTGGTATGCTCAAGGTCGTTTTCCACTTCAAAGACCCTCTATGTCCAAACTTTTACTTCCTGACTGATGACTTGAGATGTTGCTTCCAAATTTCTGCATAACATTCTTTCTTCATAATGCCATCTAATTTGTGAAGCACGTTATCACAGCGATGCTCCTCCATGCCGTTTACAGCTGTTGGACTGAGAATTTGTTTCTATGATGAGTTCAGCAGGCCTGCTAATTGCTGCTGTCACTAGTCTGAGGAGCCAAAATAGCATAGCTTTCAGGCACCCTCCAATGGTTGCCATGGGAGATTGAAAGATTTCTCAAAGATGCACGAAAAAATCAAAGCAACACTCTTTGCATGCTTCTGATGAGGGAATATTATAGTGAAATAAAGCTCAAAAAGTTGATTTTACACAATTCCTCACATATAAAGTCTCTGTTAGTCATGTCTCCTCGATCTCAGGACAATGCAACAAGTATTTCTGGACACGGAGGCTGAAAACCTTTGCAACAGAGAGAATTAACGTGAAAGGCTTGGGCTTGAACTCTCCCGAAAAGCTTGAGCGATACGCCTCGGCCTGCTTAGATAACTGATTGAGTTTTGTTCAGTTTAATGTTTTCCGTCTAACCTGCTGGGTTTGGAGCCGAGCCCGGTTTCTATATCCGTCCGTGACTGTCTCTCTCTCTCTCTCTCTCTTTCTTCACACACAAACATTCAGGAGGCTCAATCTTCTGTGATTACACTCTGCTGTTTCTTTCTCCATCACAAAGAAAGGCGGCACAATCACACACACTCTCACTATCCTTTACTGTGATGTGGAGCCTGACACCTGTTATCTCCATCTGTCTGCTGGGAAGAGGAACAAACAACCCTGGCAAGACGTGATAGTCGCTATCTTTCATCGACAAAGACAAAAAAACGTGTTGATATCGGACGGTAAAATACTGCACAAGTTTCAGGAGGTACGGCCGTGTGAGTTTCTGCAGAGCATGTCAGGCCCTCCATTGGTTTGCTCTTTATTATTTCGCTGCTCATCCAACTTTACCGAGTCTGTCAAAGACGCATTTGTTGTATTTTACTCAAAGGTCTGAGCTACTTTTCGCTTCTGAAAGAGCCGAGATTGCTGCTTGTTGCACCTTTCCAGTCAGCTCCGGCACTTGGCAGAGAGTCTGAAGGAAGCAATCATTTCAACCTTCAACAGCTCTCCTGAATGTTGAGTAATCTGTGTTTAGCAGCGCCTCGAGGCACTCTCCCTTCCTCATGGTTAATGCCTCCACACTTCGCAACAAACCGGAACGTCTCCGCTTGAATTTTGATCGGCTTTACGGAGCCTTAAGGTCTGTCCGTGTGAAGCCGACTCAGAGGGAGGCTGATTCGGGGTGGAGAAGACGCGGTGGAATTAGGCAACGGCTGGTGATGCTCCGTCCGAACCCGACTTAGCTTCTATTTTTAGGAGCTTCATCTCAAGACCAGGGATTGGCGCGGAGGAAGCTGCAGAGACCAATGGATTACAGAACGTCAAGAGAGGATGGCAGTGTGACACTTCTGGCAACTTCTTTGCTCTGAACTCAATTTGTCTTGGTGGGCTTTTTCCCCGCTTGGCTACTGACCTGGCAGCTTATTCTGAGATCTCTTAAACACAAAAATCTTTCTGTGTTTAAATTTGTAAAGAAAACTCAGCCCAGTAATTCCCCTCACTTCTGTGTTTATTTTATTTTTTGTTTTGCCAATGTTTGCTTCCCTTGAAATCTTTTCAGTTGGAAGGGCGTTTTCATGCCTGATTCACTCGGTTCAATTTGGGACCAAAGTTGCAACATTTTTTGTATTTTCATCTGGTGCTGTGTTTCTAAGGGACACAGAAACAAACAAACTCTAAAGTAGCTCAAAAAATCCCAGATCCCGACAATCTCCTCCATGTCCCAATGCTCCAAAATGCTGCAAAAAAAATTAGTGTTTAACATTTTTCCTCACATTTCATTCTTTCATCTAATGGGAAAAAGAAACCCTTTCTCTTCAAAATCCCCCCATTAAAAATGTAGCGTCTTTTTGCATTACTGCTCTATATAGCTGCACTCCCTCTACACTGACCTGGAACTACACAAATTAGATTTAATGCCTGAGTTTTCTGCAACTAAATGCCAGCTTGTGTAATGCCAAAATCATTCAAACCCACCCAGTCAATTGATTTAATAATAAATTTGTTCGCTTCGTGTACTTAATCACCTTGTTTTTCCAGATGTCTTCGAGGTAAAATAAAGCGAGCAGGTTGTTCACAGCTCCCAGGGGAATAAACACCCTCACGGCAGTCCAAGGGTGTTTTATTTGTGCGACATCCCAGACAGGCTGCTCATAATTTGTGGGGACGAGCCAGAGACATCAGAGTGAGGCACATCTGCTGCAGCCAGTTTGAAACCGCATGTGGGCTTCGGGAAAGATGCTTAACTCATAAGAAGCTAAAACTGGTGGTTTCACAAAGATACTTAACGCACAGTTTGGCTGTGACTCCCTCACATATCTTGTCTTCTGCAGCTGCAGTTAAGACTTCACCAGGGATTCCTGTTGGAAATGTGACATTTAATTTATTTTCAAAATGTATATTTTTTCAATAGTTGTTTAAACTGTGACTATGTTGGGACAGCATGGTAGGAAAAAATCTGCGAAAAAAAATGTTGCTTCTCTGCCCGCTTTTCATTAAAGGACTTTAATGAAATGACTTTTCATTAAAGTAATTTTCTTTAATGAAAAGAGAAGGACTTTCTTGTCATTAAGAAAATAAACTGCTTTCTTTTCTTAATGATACCCAGCGCTTCCAGTGCTAACTTGAAACAACCAATCAGAGCGGGGCTTAGAGCTGTCAATCACAAGCTCGTATGGCGCTGCTAATCACCCTCGCCCTGCCATCTCTCTGCCCCCTGCTCTCTGTTATCGTGACAGCTTTTCAAATCCCGTTGTGAATGCTAAGGGTAGTTAGCATAGCCACTGATGGCGGCGGATAAACCGTCATCAGTCTATCCACCTTTAGCACATTTAGCAGTGTGTACATGAGATTGATTGACAGCATTAAGAACATCCTACTGGCTGTGATTGGTTGTTTCTATAACAACATGGTGACAAAAAAAAAAAACGTTCTTTATAAACTGATGGCGGCGGATACCCAGTTTATCCTGATGGCGGCAGTTAAAGTTGCAGTTTCATTAAACTGCAACTTTAATGAAATGTTCATATCCCTGGAGCTTTTTTACCTTTTGGTTTTAAAGGGAATGTTCTGGGCAACACAAAATGCTGCATAATTATAAACTAGAATGAGAACAATGAAAAACACTATTTTTAGGTTATTTTGCAGTTAAATATGTGATGTGTTTCTGTATTCAATCCCCTGAGTCAGTAACTGGTCGAACCACGATTCACTGAAATTACAACTGTTTTAGGTTCTGTATAAACTCCTGCCTTCAATGGAAACAACCCCTTCTCAAGAGTCGAAATAACTTTTACATTATGTGAATGTCCCTAATCAAGCATCTTGCTCACCTGCTCTGTATAACACGGCACTGGGACGCACTATATGGAGATAAAGTAAGACGATGCTTGCAGCTTGATAATTCAGACAATATTCTGCTGAGAAACCCAAGGCTCTGCTTTTTAGATGTTAATAATGTCAAGTATCTCTTAACTTTACAGAGACTGTATTCCCTGATGTCAGGGAGCTCTGTCAGCGGAATAAAACTCTCTTGTCGAAGAAGGAGTGGAGATCAACTCGTTCAATTTGATCTTTTATTATTTCAGGGTTTAATCCAAGGAAGCATTTTTTGAGATCTGCTAAACAGGCGGACGGGTGGATCTACCGTTGTCTAGATGTGAAACAGAACATCTTGGTTTGAATGCCTTCCCCAAATTAAAGACTAGTTTGTGTGTATGAGAGTTAATTAGGTTTTTTCATGTTTTTTCTTCAATAATAAAATCTATGACCACTCTGTCTTCTTGTCTGCATTTCGATTTCGATTTGGTCGACTCCTGACATTTGCCACATTTCTTCCTCTCTTCTAAGAACATAAAAATTTAGGTCGATATTGATATGTGATTTTAATATTGTCCTCACGGCCGAGAACCAATATTTATCAATATGGGATATATTTCCCTGCCCTTTATGACAATTTGTGGAAAAAACAACCACACTGCCATCTTCACCGTTGCTTTTCTGCTTCACTTGAACTACCCACAATCCTGTGCTGCATCACTGTAGTTTTCACTTTCTCTGTCCACAACAAGGTGGCAAAAGATATTGGTTGTTGATATTGGCCCACATGTATCTTCTCTTTGCCTGTTTTGTGTCTGAAACACAGAAAAAAAGCCACTAATGCCACAGTAATCTTTAATACTTCTCAAAGTATTTGGTAGAGATGACTTTGTAATTAATCATAAATTATTATACTGACAGACAAGTGAAGGATTACACCTCTGCTCACTGATGCAGCAGACAGTGGCTCTGAATTTCTGATATTTCATCGTTTATTCATGATTGTATCGATCGTTTCAAGATGCTCTTAGACTGGAGGCTTGAAATACGAGCCGGTTGTGTGTAAGTGCTGCCCTCCCTCTTCTGCTCCTCCTCCCCCTCATCCACAACCAGCTAAGCTTGACACCTTCACAAAGACACGCTGTATAAATCCTCTAGTGTTTATTAAATTATAGGCAGCACAGCTGGTTTGTTAAATGAAGAGGGTCTACTGGCGTCTGTGAAGATGTCTTTACTCCCATCTGTTAACAGGGCTGAAAACCTGCAGGGTCGTGTCTGCGTCGACTGTCATTATTTATTGTCAAATATGCAATGAGTTACACGTTCAGAGTCCCTGGGCTCATTCCATCATGTTACTATCCGGAAATAATCTTGGAGAAGCGGCTCAGGTGGGAGAATCTGTCAACAGGATAACTGTGCAGCGAAACTGAGGCCATAAAATTTGTTTAAAGGGGCAGCATTATGTGTTTCCCAGCCACATGGTGGCATTTTATAGCACAATCAAGTAGTTATGTCACGTTCAGTTGTTATAAAAAAAAATTCTGTATGTATCAAATATAACTTAAACAAAATTTGTCATCGTGTTTAATGCCTTTAAATTGAGCCTCTGTCTCTTTAAGAAACTTCTGGCCTTTCAACTCTACGCCTTTGGGAAGTCATCACAACATTTCTCCTCTATTAACCTTTTAACAATGTTTTTACCAGTGTTACGCTGAAAAGTAGCTCATACAATGAGATCAGCAGATCCCCGATTCCACCGGGTGTTTGCTAATTACTACTGGCTAGTCTGAAGGAGCAGAGTGGGGGAGTCTTGGAGGAGGGTTGCTATGTGAGGCAGAAGATCAGAGGATGAGGATCATCTTTCTACTGCTGAATGGTTGCCAGGGGAGATTCAAGGATTTCTCAAACAATAACGAAAGAATCAAGGCAACACTCCGTGTACAATTTTAAAAAGGTAATAACGTTGTAACATAATATGAATTTTTAAAAATCGATTTAAAAAAATTATGCTAAAAAATATTTAAAACTGAAATAAAATGTGAAATTAAATAAAAGTTTGAACCTTAAGAGACACAAGATTTACCAGAAAAAGTTTTTTAAAAATTTAAAATTAAAATAAAAGACTTTTCTGATTCAAAGTTATTGTTTGTTTTTGTTTTTTTGTTTGGTTTTTTTTTTTCTCTTTTAAAAGATATTTCTAATTCCCACGGCTCCTTAATGCAACATCTGGAAATGGCACCAGCGGTGTGTGTTGATTCCACACCGCACCACGCCACACTTTTCAGGTTGTTTGTTGTTGAAGCTTTTGAAAACAATATCTGATTTTCTTCCTACTTTGCAATTTCTTAAACTACTTCGTGTTGGGTTCTCAAAAACAAACAAACAAACAAAAAGAGTCCTAATAAACTATAATTAGCTTCAAGCGCCGGAAAGTTAACAAGTCCAGGTGGTGTGAATACTTTTGCGACATTTTACGTTTGGCGTTGTGTTCACTGAGTGACGCACGTCTTCCCGAGTCCAGAATAATAAGCACCAGTAATATAACTACTACTAATAAAACGATATTTTTCGCATTTTCCTCTCACCTGAATTCTGGCGCCGAGTTGCTTTTCAGTCCATAAAACCCAGCCGACAAGGTGAGCAGCCAGTACGGAACGAAAGCCCCGTGCTCACACTCCAGGTACGGCGCGGACCATTTGATCTGGCTCTTGTTCAGGAGGTAACTCCCGCCGCCCGAGCCCTCGGGGCCGCCCCTGTGCGCCTGAGGTCTCCTCCCGTCCCTGAAGTCGTGGAACCACTCGGACTCGGGGCTCCTGTTCTTCAGGCGGCGGTGCGCGGACCCGGAGAGGTCCTGCAGCACCACCTCATCGCCGGTCCTGGTCGCCTGGAGGAAAACGTGCGGGCCGGGAGTCGTCGGCGCGTCCGCGTGCAGGGTCACCACCGCCCGGTGGATCTTCGGGTCCCCCTCGAGGATGCTCTGAACCAGCGCGTGGTACCAGCCCGTGTCCCCGCGGAAGGTTCGCTCGCGGGACTTGTTGGCCTGCAGGATCATGTTGAGGAAGTTGGTCGCGTGCGCCACCGTATCCAGGACGCTGTGCAGGGAGTAATGGGAGGCGACGTGGAGGCCGCCGCGCAGGCTGCTCAGCTCATACCTCCGAGAGCAGTTGACCTGCCTCAGCGCCGAGGAGTCTCCCGTGTGCAGGAAAGCCGTCACCACCCGGGGGAGATCCTCCTCGATTTTGTGCGCGACCACCGCGCGCTCCGTCGGCTGGAGCGGGTGCGGAGTGGGACGGTGGGGCGGCTCCTTGTTGACGCTCTGCGTGCTGAGCGCCGCCGGCGGTGGGAGCCTCTCGTCCCTGTCGTTATCCGACCACTCCACGTAGCCGTAGTTTGAACCCAGAACGATCCCGGCGTGCAGAAGCAGCGCAAAGAGGATGAGAGCCATGGTGGTTCCTCACAGGCGCAGGGGGGACACCGCGGGCACCTGGCAAGCTGCGCTCATCGCCAAATCCTCTCTCTCGCTTTCTCTCGATGCTGCTATTAGAAACTCTTCGTCAAACACAAGCCACAAAGGTCCTGAAATTTACAGTCATTACGTCGCCAATTACGACAGGAATCCCCATCGCCACCACTTCTAATCGACGGCTTCAAAGGAAAGCGGAGACTTTCATAAAGCGGCTGTCCGAAAAAGAGAGGAGAAGAAGAAGAAAATCCTCGGAACTCCGTTAAATCTACGAACACTTCTCCCCGGGAGCGGCGCGGCGCTGCTGCTCTGGACAAAACAACAAAGAGAGAGGAGCAGCGCCGAAATGTTCCCGAACTTCAGTCCCCTCCCAATAAAAACACAGGTCCCCCACCTCCTCCCTCCAACCAAGGAGATGCTTAGTGTCGCCCACGGTTGTGTGCGCGAGCGCCGTGTTACGTGTGTGTTTGTTTCTCAGCGCGAGCCTGCAGCGGAGGTGGGCGGGGCGTGGGAACACACTGGGAGCTGTCCGGTGCTGAGAGGAGATAACTAGAAAACAGGAATTCATTTCCAAACTGGATGAAGTGAAGTGAGATGCTCAAGACTGTTTTGTTTTTTTTAATTTCGAAACAAAAGTAACTCAGTAGCAACACCCAGGTGAAAAGAAATATAAAAAGAAAGAGTGGGACTTTAATTAATTTCGCTTAGGAAAAAAATACAATTAAAATGAAATTTCATTTATTTTTGTGTGCTAAAATGGAGCAATTTGATGTCTTGTGCTTATTTTATGCTAGAATAATATAGTTTGGTGTCATTTTAAGTGATAGGACCGTGAGTAGGACCGTATAGTGTTGCAACTGTTCAGTTTCTCTTTAACTCTTGAAACTCTTGGAAACTCTTGACCGATCCAACATGCTGCCACTGCAAAAGTACTGATGCCAGAGAATAATTATGAATAAGGCAAAATCAAACGCAGCGCATTCTTGATCTCTGCTGGATCCCATGTACACGACGAATGAGAAAAGCCGCAGCAGACTCAAATCAGCAGCTTCAGTTCAGTCGTGAACAACACATTTAGACAAGACTTGTTACCAAGACAATGTTAAACCTTTTTGTGGAAAATACTCTTACAAGCTAACATGTTTGATCAAGCATTTTCAAAAAAAGAAAAGATTTTTTTTTTTTTTCGACTCCTTCCAGAAACGTCGATGTAACCTCTGGCCTACTTTACAGCGACTTTTCAAGTCTTTCTACGGATCCTGAACCAATTTGAGGTCTGGACTTTGACTAAACCATTTCACACCATGTGCCAAAGAAAGAAAACAGGCGATCCAAGTTCAAAAAATTAATAGTTATTTTGTTACAAGTAATCAATCAATCAAACAATCAATCAATCAATCAATCCCAGTAGATATATTAAGTTTATTAAGTTGTCACCTTAAACAGAACGGATAGAAACAAACTTAATTCGAGTGAATGTAAGAGTATAACTTTTTTTTTTAGTTGGAGCTTCATTCTTTTTCAATAAAACTATAGTCATTGTGTCTCAAGGTAAGTGATTTGGACCATTGTTTTACCAGTAGGTAAATCTATGCCCCAGTCTCAAGTGTTTTGTAACTTCGAACAGTTTCCCCTCCAAGTTTCCTCTGCATTCTGCTTCCAATTACTCTGAACATCTGCCTCCCTGCTGAAGAAAAGTTTCCCCTTGAGCTCAGCGGTGCCAACGCGTCGCCGACACAATGGGCTTGTTTTCTGCCTCACCCGGGGACATGCACGGAGGCCAGAGCATTCAGCTGTCATCAAAGCGCCTCATATTCCACATGGTCGTCAAGCAGAGCTTTGTGATGTTGTTTTTTATTATAACCCAGCCCTGCTTCAGACCTCTCCCGTGTCTGCTGGGTTCCTCTGTCTTTTGGGCGCAATTTGTTCACTATTGTCCTCCAACAAACCTCCAAGGCCTTCGCAGTACAACAGATTTTTATTTAGTTTTTCTTCCTGCGATTAAATTACTCAAATCGGAGTTCTGGTTTCTTTCTGGCATTTTTTTAAAATCTTTTGCTTCTTAAGCAGTTATTGTCAATCTGTTTCATAGTAACTTAAAGACATAGTAACTTATTATAGATCAGGGGTGTCAAACTCCAGTCCTGGAGGGCCGGTGTCCTGTAACGTTTATACATGCCTCTGCAGCACCACACCTGAATAGAATGATTAGGTCATTAGCAAGACTCTGGAGAACTTATCAACACAAGGAGGAGGTAATTAAGCCATTTCATTCCAGCATTTTTGTGCTTGTGGCGCATCTAAAAACTGCAGGACAGTGGCCCTCGAGGACTGGAGTTTGAGACCCCTGTTATAGATGGTCTTGTTTTTATATATCTGTTTAAACTGTAATCTCCTCTCCCTCCTCACTGTGGTTCTACTATTATGCACATAAATATACTGCTTCAGGTGAGAAACAACCAAACAGAGCCAAGAGGAGGGTTTTAGCGCTGTCAGTCATGCTTGTGTAGCATAGCTCACAACCTTCCCCCTTTCTCTCTGCTGGTTTACCACAACCGAACCTGCCACGAATGCTAAAACTAGTTAACAGTTTTTCTGTTTCTCCGCCATCGCCACATGACACAACATGTTCGCAAGGATGATTGACAGCGCTAAGACCCTCCCTCTAGATCTGATCGGTTGATTCTGACCAGAAGATGGAGGCGGTAGAGGAACTTCTTTTTTTTCTGTTTTTTGGTCTCATATTATACTTTGTGTAAAAAACATCTATTTAATAAAAGTTACACGTTGCAGCTTTAATTGAAGTTTCACACAGGTTTTAAATTACTGCCTCTTCGCTAGGACTCCTTTGAAAAAGAGGTCTTTAATCTGACTGAGACTCTCCTGGTTAAATAAACGTAATAATAACAACACTAAATTTAAGGACAATTGCTTCTAGATTTCAAGACAAAACAGGACACACAAACTAAGTTAACTTTTGCATTGAATTCCCGATTTGATTTGATCTGAAGATGAGATTTTTTGCGTCAGTCACTAAAACGACAGTTTGACACTCACCCAGCCAGCACGCATGAGTGGGCCCCACTTGTGTTTGATGTGGGCTACATGGGTAATGAGTGGGCATGGGTTTTATCTGGGCGAACTGCATGGGACACACATGGTTAACCTAAAATGAGACCCATATGGGCTGGCCCATATGGGCTAAATGCATGGGCCCTATTCAGCAACTAGGTGGGCTATCTGGGAATGGGATAGTACTGGGCAACACTATATGGGGCCCATGTGGTTTCAGTATCATGGGCCCAACATGGGAAGCCCATGTGGGCAGACCACATTGAACCCACATGACATCAGCATGGGCTGACCATATATGGGTTAGACATGGGTGTGGATATGTGGGCCCCAGTCCTTTTTTAAGTGGGCTATCTGGGAATGGGATAGTACTGGGCAACAGTATGTGGGGCCCATGTGGTTCTAGTTTCATGGGCCCAACATGGGAAGCCCATGTGGGCTGACCACATTGAACCCACATGACATCAGCATGGGCTGACCATATATGGGTTAGACCTGGGTGTGGATATGTGGGCCCCAGTCCTTTTTTAAGTGGGCTATCTGGGAATGGGATAGTACTGGGCAACAGTATGTGGGGCCCCTGTGGTTCTAGTATCATGGGCCCAACATGGGAAGCCCATGTGGGCTGACCACATTGAACCCACATGACATCAGCATGGGCTGACCATATATGGGTTAGACCTGGGTGTGGATATGTGGGCCCCAGTCCTTTTTTAAGTGGGCTATCTGGGAATGGGATAGAAACGGGCAACACTATATGGGGCCCATGTGGTTTCAGTATCATGGGCCCAACATGGGAAGCCCATGTGGGCAGACCACATTGAACCCACATGACATCAGCATGGGCTGACCATATATGGGTTAGACATGGGTGTGGATATGTGGGCCCCAGTCCTTTTTTAAGTGGGCTATCTGGGAATGGGATAGTACTGGGCAACAGTATGTGGGGCCCATGTGGTTCTAGTATCATGGGCCCAACATGGGAAGCCCATGTGGGCTGACCACATTGAACCCACATGACATCAGCATGGGCTGACCATATATGGGTTAGACCTGGGTGTGGATATGTGGGCCCCAGTCCTTTTTTAAGTGGGCTATCTGGGAATGGGATAGTACTGGGCAACAGTATGTGGGGCCCATGTGGTTCTAGTTTCATGGGCCCAACATGGGAAGCCCATGTGGGCTGACCACATTGAACCCACATGACATCAGCATGGGCTGACCATATATGGGTTAGACCTGGGTGTGGATATGTGGGCCCCAGTCCTTTTTTAAGTGGGCTATCTGGGAATGGGATAGTACTGGGCAACAGTATGTGGGGCCCCTGTGGTTCTAGTATCATGGGCCCAACATGGGAAGCCCATGTGGGCTGACCACATTGAACCCACATGACATCAGCATGGGCTGACCATATATGGGTTAGACCTGGGTGTGGATATGTGGGCCCCAGTCCTTTTTTAAGTGGGCTATCTGGGAATGGGATAGTACTGGGCAACAGTATGTGGGGCCCCTGTGGTTCTAGTATCATGGGCCCAACATGGGAAGCCCATGTGGGCTGACCACATTGAACCCACATGACATCAGCATGGGCTGACCATATATGGGTTAGACCTGGGTGTGGATATGTGGGCCCCAGTCCTTTTTTAAGTGGGCTATCTGGGAATGGGATAGAAACGGGCAACAGTATGTGGGGCCCCTGTGGTTCTAGTATCATGGGCCCAACATGGGAAGCCCATGTGGGCTGACCACATTGAACCCACATGACATCAGCATGGCTGACCATATATGGGTTAGACCTGGGTGTGGATATGTGGGCCCCAGTCCTTTTTTAAGTGGGCTATCTGGGAATGGGATAGAAACGGGCAACACTATATGGGGCCCATGTGGTTTCAGTATCATGGGCCCAACATGGGAAGCCCATGTGGGCTGACCACACTGAACCCACATGACATGAGCATGGGCTCATGTCATGGGCCCAACATGGGGAGACCATGTGGGCTGACCACACTGAACCCACTGTGGGTTCAGTGTGGTCAGTACATATCCACGCCCAGGTTGGACCTGGGTGTGGATATGTAGACCCCAGTCCTTTTTTAAGTGGGCTAAATGAGACAAAATTGTAGAACAATGTACAGGGGTTGGACAATGAAACTGAAACACCTCTCATTTTAGTGTGGGAGGTTTCATGCCTGAATTGGACTAGCCTGGTGGCCAATCTTCATGAATTGCACATTGCAACAGTAAGAGCAGAGTGTGAAGGTCCAATTAGCACGGTAAGAGCACAGTTTTGCTCAAAATATTGCAATGCACATAACATTATTTGGGACATACTGGAGTTCAAAAGAGGGCAAATTGTTCACCAAGACAGCAAGTCTTTGTGATTATCAAGAGCCACAGTATCCAGGGTAATGTCAGCATACCACCAAGAATGACGAACCACATCTAACAGGATTAACTGTGAATGCAAGACGAAGCTGTCTTAAAGAGATGTTTGGGTGCTAACCCGGATTGTATCCCAAAAACATAAAACCACGGTGCCCAAATCACGGTAGAATTAAATGTGCACCTCAACTCTCCTGTTTCCACCAAAACTGTCCGTCGGGAGCTCCACATGGTCAATATACACAGCCGGGCTGCTATAGCCAAACTTTTGGTCACTCGTATCAATGCCAAACGTCGGTTTCAATGGTGCAAGGAGCGAAAATCTTGTGCTGTGGACAATGTGAAACATGTATTGTTCTCTGATGAGTCTACCTTTACTGTTTTCCCCACATCCGGGAGAGTTACGGTGTGGAGAAGCCCCAAAGATGCATTCCAGCCAGAGTGTTGTATGCCAGAGTGAAGCATGGGGGTGGATCATTGATGGTGTGGCCTGCCATATCATGGCATTCCCTTGGCCCCATACTTGTCCAAGACGAATTGATGCTGTATTGGCCTCAAAGGAGGCCCTACACCACGCTAATAAGTTATTGTGGTCTAAAACCAGGTGTTTCAGTTTCATTGTCCAACCCCTGTAGTTAACCTGTCACTTTCAAAATTTTGACTGTATGTCAAAGCAAAAGCTGCAAGAGCAAGATTCTCAAAACTTGGAAAGAATTACCCGAGATGTCAGCTTTATAGTCTTTGCCAAGGCAATTGTTACTCAGCTGGCCTCTAATGGAGTTGATGTAAGGTAAATTGTAGAATTTAATTTTTTCCTTGTAGGAAACCTCGACGATAGTAAAGGTTGGTGACCTTGACCATTGTCGAGGTCTCCAGGACGAAGGTGACCTCGTCTTGGAGATCACCCAAGGATATATTTTGCTGATAGAACAGAACATCCATGTCTTCCTAATGTTTGAACCTAAAACATGTTCACTGTGTGATATCTATGCCTGGCTCATTTACAAACACTAGGCTTCCAGAGGACCAGGATATTAAAACATTAAAAATAATTCTACAATGCTTTATTTTTTTAAACCAGTTCAGTATTGCTCTAGCCACACTTTGAACCCTTAACATTTTTTCATGTTATTATTTTATGCTAGAACAGTCCAGTCCAGTCTCCAAGCCAGTACGCATGAGTGGGCCCCCCTTGGGTTTGTAGTAGGCCATATGGGTAATGAGTGGTCATGGGTTTTATCTGGGCAAACCTCATGGGACACATATGGTTAACTAAAATGGGACCCGTATGGGCTGGCCCATTTGGGCTAAATGTATGGGCCCTATTCAGCAACAATGTGGGCTAACTGGAAATGGGACAGAAATGGGCAACACTATTTGGGGCCCATGTGGTTTCAGTATCATGGGCCCCACATGAGAAGCCCAATGTGGGCTGTCCACATTAAACTAACATGACATGAGCATGGGCTAACCATACATGGGTTGGACCTGGGCAGGAAAATGTAGCCCCTCTAAATGGGACAAAATTGTAGAACATTTTAATCGACAATGTGGTTACCCTGTCACTTTCAAACTTTTCACTGTATGTCAAAGCAAAAGCCAGTTCAGTATTGCTCTTGCTACACTTTGAACCCCTAACTTTTTTTTCATTTTATTATTGCAGTCTGAATGTCTTAAAACATTTTTTTGAAATAATCTGTTTGAAATATATACGTAAACTCATATTCTGGTGCTTACTCAAAATTAAGCACAGAGTGGTCATGGTTGAGCTTTAGTCCTTGTTTTATTTTTAATAATAATAACTTTTTATTTTATTTTTATTATTATTTTTTATCAATTGGATGTTTAGACATCCATAGAGTTTACTGCAGCCTGTTCGCAGCAAGATTTAAATTTTTATTTGGACAAATAGTTCAGATCAGACCATTGTGAAAAATATCACAAAATGTTTAGAAAATAAACAAAACTCATTAGTAAGTGAGAGACAAGAGTAAAATTTTGAGCATCTGTTTTTTCATATATTTGCAAACATTTTCCAAGTCATCAGTATAAATAAAAATAAAAAATAAAAAACGTAACATTTCTGTTAATGATTCATTTGGTTCCAATTACCTTTTTGTTCATTGTTTGCTCTGAGGCACCGTTGCCAATAAAGGTTGGTGAATTGAAGTACCGGTAGGCACTTTACACATCCACTGAAGAAAATAGTTCCAAAACATATTTGAATAAGGAGGACAACGAAATGTATTTATTTACATTGAGAACTTTTGCTACATCGGTTTTACATTTGTTAAACCGATGTAGCACTCTCAAAAATTAATCTTGTGTTTCTTGGAAAACGTAAAATGACCCGCGGATGGATATGCGGTTTCAAAATCAAGCCTGTTCTCTTCATCAGTCCGTTGGCGCGGAGTCTGCCTGTTGGCTGATCTACGAAAGAATCTGTAAGTACATTTCTTCTGTTTTACCTAGTACCAAATTTTAGGGAGAGATTTTAAATCGCTTGTTAAAAAAATTGTTGCTCGTAACAAATCGGACGACAGTATCCCAAAAGAGACTTAATTGTTATTGTTATTTTTGCTTTTCTTTAGGGTGATACTTTTTCTGATATTGCTAACACACACAGCTATACACAATAAGCAGATTTTAGTGCAGACCGATTTCAAACGCAGCGTTGTGGGCCAAACCATTTTCAAATACCGCCGCCATTCTATTTGTTGAGCTGCCATTGGTTCATTTGAGCGCCAACGAGGCAGAATGAAATCGGTTCACTGAAGAATCTATGTTGCTAGCAGAGGTTGTTACAAAGTGTCTGGACACAATAAAACCATTTGTATGATTTAAAAAGAGTAACTATTGTGCTTTCATTCTATGTACTTGGGCTTTTAATAATCTTTCTCACAGTCACATCAGCATGCATGGGTGGGTCTCATGTATGGATTCAGGCTGGTTTGGCTGGGACCCATGCAAGATTATTATTGTCGTTTTTTTCAATAAAACTGCATTGAATCGTTTAGCTTTGGGCTATATAGGTAATGATAAGAGGGCATGGGTTTTATCTGGGCCAACTGCGTGAGGCTCAAAAGGTTAACCGAAATGGGACTCATATTGTTGGCTCAATTGGGTTAAATGTATGGGCCCAATTCAGCATTAACGTGGGCTAACTGGGCATGGGACAGAAATGGGAACACTATATGGGGCCCATGTGGTTTCAGTATATTGGGCCTAAAAGGTTTTTTGTAAATAGGATGAAGGCATTGTAGTTCATATTTTTAAATTCTTTTTTTAATTGTTGTGTGACACTTTAAAGCGTTTTGTTATGTCATAGTTTATTTCAATCTGCCGCTATTGTGTTGGTCTAGAGTAGTCATCAGTGTCAGGGTTCCTGTGTGTGTATGTGAGTGTCGCATCTTATTTCAGCGAGGATCTTTGTGAGGAGCCCGTGGAGCTTGGCACAGGTGGAGGAGCAGCAGAATCTTCAGTCTACGCTAGATTGACTGAAGATTCTACTGGTGTATGCTAGATGGTTGCATACACCGGTAGTCACTCTGGCCTCTCCTGTTGTGAACAGTTTTCTGAGAACGTTTCTGTGTCTACTAGAAGTCACCTGGTCTCTGTGTTTGTTCGATCCTAGGGGTTTTGTCGCCTCATTCGAGAACTCACCAGTGAATACCTGCGTGCTCGCTCCGCCGATTCCACTGCCTCCACTCCACCCTTCGAGCTTCCAGCTCTCTTCCATTCCCACCTCGCATTTACCTTCGGAACCGCTGCACACCCTCTCTCAGGAACCTGGCATCTCACACCCACGCCTCGAAAGACCCGCACCGAAGTAAGCCTGTTCCTGTTTCCCCTCCGATCACTCATTCTAAGCCCGTCATAACTAAGTTCTCGTTTCAGGCCAACCTGGTCGAGTGGTCCTCACCCTTCCGCTGATGTCCGGGAAATAGATTTTATTTTGTCCTGTTGTAAACAAATCACTCACTCATCCCTATCCAACGTGTGGTTACTGCATGTGGGTCCGTAAATTGAAACCCATCATGTCAATCAGTGGCCAAGCCTGAAACAAATATTGAAAGATGAAGAAATTCTTTTTGATATTTTTGCAATATTTAGCTAGCAGTTATGTGAAATGTACTTATATTTAATTGTAGCTCTAATTTTTTTATATGTGAAATGTTTTAGGCTTTATTAGTTACATTTATAGTGATTTTCTAAACTTCTCTTAAGAGTAATACTACTGTCTTAGTCCTGTCACGTTAACAAAGAAATTAGGATAATTGCAAAACTGTTCAGTGTTTACAATATAAGGCTTCAGTAGTTAATCTATACAAAGGCTGTTTTGCCTTAATTTTTTTATTTTTTTGAAAAGTCTAAATGTTATATTGCACTAATATCATATATCTTTTTGCAGGCTTCAAGAAGATCAGCGTGTTAAGATCACTTTATAATGTCTTGAAAAAGGTATATTAATATGTTAGTGAAATTACGCACATAAGAGTGATATAATGACAAACTGATGAACAAAAACAAAATGTTGTCCTGTTATTGTCATTGTACTTAAGGTTGCCATGGCTACAGAAATTGGAGGAGCATCCTTAGATGACACAATACAACCAGCTGTGCGATTCCTCATGTCCCATGAACTGGAAGTCCAGTTCAACCTTTTTGGCCAACATTGGAAACAAGCTCTTGGACCTGCGTCTCTTTGATGTTTTGTATGGTAAATATCAGTTTTTATTGTCAGAGTAACTTTTTTTTTTCACTTTTCTTTCTTAAACATATGTTAATTTATTTTGGTTGTTTTATGCTTTTGTTTGTTATTTTTAGTAATGTTTTTAGGTTAAAAATTGAGTCTTCAATTTTTGGTTTTATTTGAACAGTATTCTTTCACTGTTGTTAAGAACTTAAAAATTTGAAGGTAATATTGTTTGCATTTCAAACAATATTAAAATAACCACAAAACCACGATAGAACCTATTAGTTGATTTATATAGATGGATATATTTTAAATTTACAGTAAGAATATAGTTTCTGTACATAATAATGATGACTCAAGAGTCCTTTTGATTATGGCATATCTCTGCAAGCATTTTTGCCCCATGAAGGGGGAGATGCAAATCTCATGAATGTTACATTGTGCTAAAATGAAACACTAATACAATTTCTACCTTTGCTTGTTATTTCAGGGGACTTAAAAGAAATTATCCATCTACAGAATCACACAAGCATACAGCAAAGACTCTCGAAGTGGTTTACTGGAGCCCGAGTGGAAGTGGAAATAGACTAGAGAGACTGCCAGTTCAAACTCAGGTTGGGAGGTCTTTCAAGATGGACAGTTTCAGTAAAGTATGAGAGATTTCAAATTTAAGCATGCATATGGCATGTAGGTTATTTTTAAAAATGTTTAACAAAAATGTATTGTGAAAGATCTATATAGGTGTGTATATTCACATTGTGTGTATCAATGTGAATATACGTGTATAAAGTTATATAGATAGTATTTAGATGTATACATTTATAGACCTGTAGGAAAATATGTAGGTGTCTTTATTTGTGTGCATCTATAGATATATATTTATAGATCTGTTTATAAGTTTGTTATAGTAAACTAGCTTCTGTTATTTTCAAAGATGTCGTGAATAATTGCAGATTTCTTTTTGTGGCACCATTCCCTGAGTATTAATGAAGTTCTAATAATTGCTGTAGTGAGGTAAAAAATAACTCCTGACAATATTTTAAATTACTAAATAAAAGCCTTGAGCAAAATAAATTTTTCATCTCTTTTTTTTTATTTTTTATTTCAACACGTTTTAAGCTAGACTTTGGATTGTTGATCAAGATTGCATATCTATGAATGTAATTCACATCCAGGTTAGATGAGAATTGTTCCTACAGGATTAAGGCATCTGGGTCCCGCTGAAAGCCCAGTTAGCACCCATTAAAATCTACTTGGGCAAACCCATGTGGGGCCACCATGGAAACCGTGGACAAACCCACTTGGTACCCATATTCTAGCCCAGTTCAGACCCAATTGGGACCCAGGTAAATATTCCTGACAGCACCCTAGTGGGCCACAGATGGGCCTCATGTGAGTTAACCATGTGGGACCCACTGAAAGCCCAGTCAGCACCCATTAAAATCTACTTGGGCAAACCCATGTGGGGCCACCATGGAAACCGTGGACAAACCCACTTGGTACCCATATTCTAGCCCAGTTCAGACCCAATTGGGACCCACGTAAATATTCTTGACAGCACCCTAGTGGGCCACAGATGGGCCTCATGTGAGTTAACCATGTGGGACCCACTGAAAACCCAGTCAGCACCCATTAAAATCTACTTGGGCAAACCCATGTGGGGCCACCATGGAAACCGTGGACAAACCCACTTGGTACCCATATTCTAGCCCAGTTCAGACCCAATTGGGACCCAGGTAAATATTCCTGACAGCACCCTAGTGGGCCACAGATGAGCCTCATGTGAGTTAACCATGTGGGACCCACTGAAAGCCCAGTCAGCACCCATTAAAATCTACTTGGGCAAACCCATGTGGGGCCACCATGGAAACCGTGGACAAACCCACTTGGTACCCATATTCTAGCCCAGTTCAGACCCAATTGGGACCCACGTAAATATTCTTGACAGCACCCTAGTGGGCCACAGATGGGCCTCATGTGAGTTAACCATGTGGGACCCACTGAAAACCCAGTCAGCACCCATTAAAATCTACTTGGGCAAACCCATGTGGGGCCACCATGGAAACCGTGGACAAACCCACTTGGTACCCATATTCTAGCCCAGTTCAGACCCAATTGGGACCCACGTAAATATTCCTGACAGCACCCTAGTGGGCCACAGATGGGCCTCATGTGAGTTAACCATGTGGGACCCACTGAAAACCCAGTCAGCACCCATAAAGATTTACTTGGGCAAACCCATGTGGGGCCACCATGGAAACCGTGGACAAACCCACTTGGTACCCATATTCTAGCCCAGTTCAGACCCAATTGGGACCCAGGTAAATATTCTTGACAGCACCCTAGTGGGCCACAGATGGGCCTCATGTGAGTTAACCACATGGGCCCCACTGAAAACCCAGTCAGCACCCATAAAGATTTACTTGGGCAAACCCATGTGGGGCCACCATGGAAACCGTGGACAAACCCACTTGGTACCCATATTCTAGCCCAGTTCAGACCCAATTGGGACCCACGTAAATATTCTTGACAGCACCCTAGTGGGCCACAGATGGGCCTCATGTGAGTTAACCATGTGGGACCCACTGAAAACCCAGTCAGCACCCATAAAGATTTACTTGGGCAAACCCATGTGGGGCCACCATGGAAACCGTGGACAAACCCACTTGGTACCCATATTCTAGCCCAGTTCAGACCCAATTGGGACCCACGTAAATATTCCTGACAGCACCCTAGTGGGCCACAGATGGGCCTCATGTGAGTTAACCATGTGGGACCCACTGAAAACCCAGTCAGCACCCATAAAGATTTACTTGGGCAAACCCATGTGGGGCCACCATGGAAACCGTGGACAAACCCACTTGGTACCCATATTCTAGCCCAGTTCAGACCCAATTGGGACCCAGGTAAATATTCTTGACAGCACCCTAGGGGCCACAGATGGGCCTCATGTGAGTTAACCACATGGGCCCCACTGAAAACCCAGTCAGCACCCATAAAGATTTACTTGGGCAAACCCATGTGGGGCCACCATGGAAACCGTGGACAAACCCACTTGGTACCCATATTCTAGCCCAGTTCAGACCCAATTGGGACCCACGTAAATATTCTTGACAGCACCCTAGTGGGCCACAGATGGGCCTCATGTGAGTTAACCATGTGGGACCCACTGAAAACCCAGTCAGCACCCATTAAAATCTACTTGGGCAAACCCATGTGGGGCCACCATGGAAACCGTGGACAAACCCTTTTGGGACCCATATTGCCTGCCCACTTATATCCCATATGGGGCCCACCTAGGTGTGCTGGCTGGGTCAATAATCCGCATCGGAAGTCAAATAATTTTTTTTCATCCACAACACGATAATATAATTTTGAGGTCCTTTTAAGTTAAAAAAAAAAACAACAAAAAACAACCCAAACAAGCAAAAAAGAAAACAGAGGCATATTAAGCAGTGTGCTGCTTTAGTGTCCTATTAATAATACTATTTTAATTTACTCCAGGGTGGGAAAAAGTTTCTCTTTTGAAAATGTCCTTTTAAATATGATGTTGTGCCCGGATGCATTATGTCTCCATTAAGACAAATAGATGAAATTACAACTACATGGTACCACAGCAGCTATTCAGCACATAAACAGATACACTGATGTCATTTATACACACAGAAGTTATGTGATTAGCCATTTATTTATTTGCCACATGATAGTAGAGATGTCAGTCTGTGTTGTCTATTTCAGTCCCAATACACACACACACACACACGCACACACACACACACACGCACACACACACACACCACCTAACTGTCTCTGTCTGACAGAAAACTGAGACGGTGTTATCTCCAGTTGTTTGTGTGTGTGTGTGTGTGTGTGTGTGTGTGTGTGTGTGTGTGTGTGTGTGTGTGTGTGTGTGTGTGTGTGTGTGTGTGTGTCTGAGTGTACACATCAATCTCACAGTGCTCCAACCCTCTCTGGGTGCTGATGATCAGAAGTCAGCCCTTGATTGTGAATTGGCGTTAAAGAGCGCAGCTCGCCCGGGGTGACTTGCAGGCCGTTGCCATGGCACTGGAAGGTGATGGCTCGGAGTACGCATTGCATCACGGGCTTCATCCTCTCTGGGCATGTGAATCTACTGCTGCCTATAATTACAGCATGTGATAGTGTGATTAAAAATATGTGAGCCAGACATGTTTTTTTCGTTTTGTCTTTTTTTTTAACCAGGTAACCATGACGAAAGTTCTTACAAAATCCTTTGTTTGCGTGCAGATTGCCTAAAATCTGCACTTTTACTGAAATGTGTCTTTTTTTTAAACATAATTGTTAAAACTGTCACTATGTCATGATAGTATAAAATTAGTCAGATAATCTGAAAAATAAATCAAGCTCCTCCACTTCCTCCCTTATCTCCTATTGCTGAAGAAACGCACCGCTCCAGATCAAAAACAACCAATCAGAGCCAGGAGGAGGGTCTTAGCGGACTCAATAAATCTCCTCTGTTCTCTGCTAAATGTGCACCAAACCCCAAACGGCTCTAATTTACGGTGAAATACTGGCAGCAGTGGTTGCCAGAACTTTACCGTCTACTCCCCAGCTTTAACTAGTCAATCATCTTCTAATGGATACTAGTACGGAGGGTTAGAGAGGACATATTTTGGTGAGGAAGAGTGCAAAATGACAGCTCCTGCTTCCTATTTCATCTTCTTTTTTTAAGGCTTTGCTGCCTCCCCTTGCTTGATAAATATTTGATGGGAATTTGCTGCTTCATCTGCATGCGTTCCAACTTGGGCCCATATGAGCCCAATACTTGCAGACGCGGCCGTTCTTTCACCTACGTTCTCCCAGAGGTTCTTTTAGCTTTGCTCAGAAAGGGGGAAGAGCATATTCCTTGTTCCTTGTGTCCGTGCAGCGAGCTGCAGCTGAACATCGACGGACCAAGCTCAAACACGCTGTTTTAAACCTCCAGATCTCACAAGGTTGTGCTTTGTTCACCACAAGTAAACTTTTCGTAATTTGAAAGTCTGTCTGTCTGTCTGTCTAGATTGATAGATCTATCTATAGATGGAATTAAAAGAAGAGGATGAAAAAAGAAAGATCATCCATGTGTGTAGATAGATAGATAGATAGATAGATAGATAGATAGATAGATAGATAGATAGATAGATAGATAGATAGATAGATAGATAGGTAGATAGGTAGGTAGGTAGGTAGGTAGGTAGGTAGGTAGGTAGGTAGGTAGGTAGGTAGGTAAGTAGGTAGGTAGGTAGGTAGGTAGGTAGGTAGGTAGGTAGGTAGGTAGGTAGATAGATAGATAGATAGATAGATAGATAGATAGATAGATAGATAGATAGATAGATAGATAGATAGATAGATAGATAGATAGATAGATTTTTTTCTCAGTTTATCACAGAAAATGTCAATAAAACACAACAAAGTCTCAGGGGTAATATTATGTTGCTAAGACATTGTGTGTGACTGAAAAAATGTTAGTCTAGAAGGCAGGAGCAAACACAAGTCATTTTATAACTACAAATGTTAATATGTTAAATTGTCAGCATCCATCACCAGCATGTTATAAGGTACCAAATTATATCTCCCCCCCTCCTTTATTGATTGGATTTTTGTTGTTTGTGGATTTCTCTTCTCTCATTTTGCTTCAGTTCAAACATCTGTAACACCAATTCTCGATGTGAAGCTCATTTATATAAAGCACGCCAGCTATTGTGAACAGATGCAGATGCGGAATCAATCTAATGCTGCAACGTATGGTGAGTGGGATTTCAAATATCACGAATTAAAAGAAGAGGATGAAAAAAGAAAGATCATCCGTGTGTGTGAATGTTTTTGTGTGGGCTCTCCAAACATTTGGGTCCCTGTAAAGTTACGAGATGGGATTCTGATTCACGCAGCACTCACAGATGGCTCATCTGATTCCACACATACACCTGGCTTGTGTTTGCTCAAAGGCAACGCCCACGCCGACAGCCTTCAAAGCTGCTTCGTACTCTGAGGGAGGAACAGTCACGCGTGGAAGGAGCTCGCCCAGAGCAAAGCTGGGATTTCCCATTTTCAATACGGCGACAAGCGCAGAAGCCGCACCTCCGCGAATTTCGCCACCCATTCAACTTGAACACAAAGACATTTCTGATATGATAATATTCCCGGCATTTGTTTTCATTCAGCTCGTTTGCTTCAAATCACGCGATATACTGTTTACACAACCACGCGCACAAATTGCTATACTTTCCTCCCCATTCCCTGACCGTCAATTATTGACTTTGCTGCCATCTCGCGGTGAATGCCGAATACTACAGGGAGAGTCATTGAAGTCAGTGTCCTGAAGGTATTAATGTAAGCTGCTTTTTCAAAACCTATATAACAGATAACTAACGACTAGATAGCCCTGAATGCAGCTGAGTTTTCCCCCGTTTGCTTAGCAGCAGGAACTGGTCGCACAATTAATGTAAGGTTCGCGATTGTTCCTACATTTTCCAAAGGACTCAAATGCAGCGTGCATGTAACCAACCAATGACGACAGAGGAAGCGAGTGCATGGTGTCGTTGTAACGTTCAGGCGACAAAAGTTAGCTCCATATAACTTACATCACAGCCAACGAGAGGTAATATCTTTATCAGACACTTTGACAGTCGTTACATTGTTTCGCTTTTTGTTTTCTGTAAAACATGTCATTTTCTCCCAGACGAGGGACGTCGGCAGTGAAGGTTAAAGCAACAATTTGACGTTCAAAGCAGCTCATTCACTGCTAACTGTTAGCAAAGGCTAGTTCTAACGGAGCCATTTAAACTGGAGTTAGTAAAATGGTGAAGGTTTTGTGTTGTCTGCGATTAAAGCGGAGTGTTTACTGGCTCTCATTGGGTCCAGTGTCCATGTTTAAGTATTTTTTAAATGTGTTTTCTTGAATTGAAATATGACAAATAAATAGCAGGTGTTCACAAGCTTCATTGTGTAGTTACAAAAGCAAGCTCCTTCCATTTCCCCTGAATGAAGGTTAAGTAATAATCTGCATGTCTTCCACGTCATCCAGGAGGGCTTTGTTTATGTCACACTGAGCTCTGCTCAGTTTTACTGAATACACAGCTCCTCAGTCCCTCACCACAGCATTTTGACCAGGTTTAGTTTTGGGCTTTGACTGGGCAACTTTCATTGCCATGTTGATGACCCGATTTCACCAGTAGGAGAAATGGCTCCCACATTTGGTTCTACTGCACTTTGGTCTACCTATTAGGTCGTGCTCGTCTCAAGTGTGGGTGAAACAAGGTCAAATGATCACCGTGCTGACAGTTGCTTCGATCTTAATCCACGCATTTCACTCTACTTTTCCTTAATGTGTCAGTGGAATTACAGGGTGCGGGAAAAAAAATCATAAATGTATATTTTGTCAGATGGATTGACTTGAAACAACCCTCCAAAATCAGCCTCATTTGAATCTAATAAACCATTAATCAACAATTAATAGTAAGTCGATTGTTTGCAATGCCAGCCACATTGCACTAGATATAAAAATTTTTTTGACAACGTCAATAAAATACCACCGATTTTTGGTGCAACAGGCACATCTGACAAGGTTTAACAATGACTAGTTAGATTTGAATAATTATTTACTTTAAAATAATATCTTAATTTACTGGCATTATTATCAATTGTCCTCAAGAAAGTAATCTTCACGTACCCTTGTTTTGTGGTTATTTACGTTTTTCTGGCCCTTTTTAAAATATTTTCATTTTTTGTATTTTTTTATTATTTTTTTTTGCTTGACATCTACCAAGATATCAACTGTTCATTGTTTTCATGTCGTGGCAGAAAAAGCCCCTTTAAAGTCTGTCTTATGGATCCTGCTCAGCAGTCCAACAAGGCCAAGCGGAATCGAGGGATGAGGCGCAGCCAGAATCAGTCGGCGACTCCTCCTCCGAAAGACGCCTACGCCAGGCTGCTGAGCCAGCACCGCAGCAGTATGTTCGCTTCCTACCTAGCACAGTACGCACAGGATTCGTTAACCCAAAAAGAGGCAAACGACTCCAGCACGTCGCTCCAAGCCCACAGTGACAGGCTTAACTTGCCACAACAAAAAAAGGACCATGTGCAGATCGAGTTCCCCGACTCAAGCGACTTCTCTCCGTCCTCCTCAAAAAACAAAGGGGAAGAGAGTTCACTGTCCTTATACATGGAGAAGTTAAGCACTCATTGTGACCAGCAGGAGTGCGAAAGGAAGCCAGGTGTGAATGAGAGACAACGACGGGGTCAGAGGAGGGACACCACCGCCAGCCAGGACGGAGACATCGAATCCGGCGAGGAGCTTGCCTGTTCGCGAAGCAACGGCCCAAAGAAACATCAGAAGCAGCAAAAGAAAAGGGATGATCCGAACAAAAATGCTGGCCCCAAAGCAGCCGACGTGAATGCCGGGCCTCAGACCCCAACAACGAACGCACGCGAGCAGGAGGAAGAGAAAGGGAGGAAGTCGAAGAAAAAAAACCAACCAAAGGAGGAGAAAAACAGAGAGGCGGTTTTAAAATTATCCGCTGATCCTCAGACACAGAGTGCTAAACCAAAACAGGGTAAATCTCAGCAGCCTGCAGGTTAGTTCCAGGAGATTTCTTGGTCCTTCTTCCTTAAAAGAAAAATCTTCTTTGTCACTGTTAGGTCAGTATGTCCCTGAGTGAAATCTTTTTCAACTGCAGGAGGAAATTGTAAGAACAAAGGAGACAGGAGATCGAAGAAGGAGGTGTTTGAGGCCTACATGAGCTTGGAGGAGGTTTCCCATGGCCTGAAAAGAGGAGAGCTTTACCAGGTACGAGGCGTAAAAAGGTGTCACTATCACCCCGCTACATTTCCTTCTCAACTAGAGATTATTAATCTTTAACTTGAGTAATTTCTTCCTATTTCCTTTCCAGGGGCAGTTAAGAATCAATCCCAAGAATTACAATGAAGCCTTTATTCCGTCTCCTGTAAGTTCAAACGCAAACCTCTTCGTAGAACGACCATGAACTACGGTGCAGTTTGGATCCTTTATGGTTAAATGAAGGCAGTTGGAAAACCAGCGCCATATTTTTATGTTTCCAGGACGACACGCGTGATATATTCCTGGACGGAGTCGTTGCCCGCAACAGGGCGCTTAACGGAGACATAGTGGTGATTCAGATTCTCCCTCGGGATCAGTGGAAGGTGAAACCTCAAGTGTCTAACAGTGATCCTATTAATGTTTAAAAAACATAGCTGATCATTGGGGTGATTGTTCGATTGAAATGTTGATTGATGGTTGATTTTTGTTTAACTCTGAACATGGTTTTGTTGGAGGATGATTGAATTCAATAAGCTTGTCAGTTTGTTTTTCACCAGCAGAACTTCTCAGGGTGTCTGCGCATCCTCAAAAAGTCTTAAATTGATCTAAAATAAAAAAATTTGTTGACCTTTAATGCGTTAATCATAGCTGTTACATTTTGTTGTGGCGGAGCTATTTAATCTCTTATATACTAAGTTGTTTTCTGGGGACTTTTCTTATTATTTTATAACTATGCTACAGCCCCGCATTTTTTCACAAATTCAACAGCACATTAAGTTTTTAACACTCCAGTCCGTTCCATTGCAGAAAAAGGTTAAACACTTGTCTCTGCAGGTGGTGAAGTCTGATACCGACTGCGACGGCACCAGTGAGTCGGACACACAGACGGAGCATGTGCTGCGAACGGCCCAGAAGAGCGCAGGGCACGGCCCGAGTCCTAACGTCAGAGCGGAGGACCAGTCAAGCGACCCGGAGGAACTGCTTGGGAAACGTCCTGATGTCTCTTGCGCTAACACAGGTACTGTGGAGAAGTGGGATCATGTGCAAATCAGCAGCAGTAAAAGAAATAATGTGCCTGGTGTAAAAGCATGTGCTAAGACACTCATACTAGTACTTTTCATCTTGTCTCAGGGGAAGGTCTGGAAGATCCTTCAGCATCCCGAGCCAACGCTGACAACCTCCAAAAGACGGCTAAAGTACGCTGGGTTTCCTACATTGGCTTCTTCCTTCGTGTTTTAGTTCCTCCCAAGAGAACAAATATTCTGTTTGCAAAGACTTATTTTCAGTCCTGATTCCTGGGTTCTCCTCCACACTGGGCTCAAAGACTTGAGAACTTGTCCACAGCATCAGAGATCCTCCACTGTACCTTTCAGGTGGCAGGAGTTTTCTTCACGTCTATGCTTTGTTTTATGCTATATCCACCTGGAGTCCAAAGCTGCTTTCCTGCATGTACAGTGTCTAATGGTTGCAATGTTGACTATGGAGGAATTTTCTCACAGTGAGCTCTGGATCTTTTTCCCTCCCTCATCATCCTCTCATTAGCTGCGTTTTCAGCAGCTAGTGGCTGTGCAAATTGGAATCACAAAAATAAATTAGCTTAATGGAATAAAAAGCAAACAAACATCTTTTTTGACGAAGGGTTTTGCACTAAATGAGGTAATTTTTGTTTTTCGGTTGTGTCAAAGTTAGCGTTTTTCAACATTATTATTGTGTGTCTTAAAGAGATGAATCTGAGTTCCTCTCCAGGCAGGTGGGCAACCTTTACCCAAGGTCAGTAAAGTCATAGTTTACTAATTCGGAGTCCTGTACCTTTTATCTACCAGGTGGTTTACATCGTTGAGAGAAAACACTCCCGAGCCGTCACAGGCCACCTGAAGTTCCTACCAGACAAACCCTTCGCCATGTTCTCTCCCGTAGACCACCGGGTGCCACGCATAAACATCAAACTCGACGACTGTCCCGCGGAGTTCAGAGCCAACCCGGGCGACTTCGCCAAGACCCTGTTGATCTGCCAGATCACCGACTGGGCAGCCGACAGCAACTTTGCCGAAGGGTGAGGAATCACTTTGAAATGCTAGCAAGGAACTTGTTGGTATTGGAAAGCTCTACCTACTATTTCTTGAACTTTTTGTTTTCGTTCTTTTATTCTCTCCTTTTAGCCGACTTGCTAAGACCCTGGGTCAAGCAGGAGAGATTGAGCCAGAGACGGAAGGAATCATGATTGAGTACAACGTAGATTTTTCGGACTTCCCACAAGAGGTGTTGGACTGTCTTCCTGAGACGCTCCCTTGGACCATCCCACCAGAGGAGATTGAAAAGAGGAGAGACCTCCGGTAGAATCCCGGTTTCTGTTTTCATTGGGAAATATGACTCATGATGTTGAATACATATGTTACTTACATTTATATATTTTTTCAGGAAGGAGTGTATCTTCACGATCGATCCTGCCACTGCCAGAGACCTGGACGACGCCCTGTCTTGTAAACAACTCCCAGACGGTACGCTGTTACCCCTTTAAGAGGGAACTACTGTTTCAAACTGTTTGCTTTGCACTATTTATCGTTATAAAATTCAATCACAGATGGACAGGTGTAACCTATTGCATAGAAGTAAGCTGAAAAGAGTAAAATGTTTCTCATAATAATAACCAGACATGAGTTAATATGAGATTCTTGTTTTAAGATGAGCTTCAGTGAACATGCCAGGTTATCATGGTATGATGGCATTTACCAAAATTATCCTTTTGGTGTTTTTTTTTTTTTAAGAGACAGCTATGTATTCTATTCTTAGGGAAATTTTATAGCACTATCAAGAAACTTTTACCTTGAATTGTTATAAAATGCTTTATATCAAACCTGACTTCAGAATTTAACGACTTTAGAAATTCCTGCTCTTTTTGAAACTCCACTTTCAGGAAGTACGTCGGATTTCCTACGTTCAACAACGTTTTTACCAGCGTTGCACTGAGAAGCAGCTCCTACAATTAACTCAGCAGCTGCTCAGTTCTACCAGGTGTTCACTAATTGCTGCTGGCTAGTCTGAAGGAGCTGAATATGGGAGTCGGATGAGAAGGGAAGCTTGGAAACTGCAGCTCCGAGAAATTAAATATGTTCATCTTCATAAAATGTGAAATATCCTCGTCTTTGTTTTGTAACACCGACTGAAGTACAGCTGTATGAATTCCACGCTACACCATATTTGAAGGCTGGCGACCAGAGAAAGATTAGCAATTTTTGCTCTTTCACAAACTCCCTTAGTACTCCTCCACTTATCTACTTTCTGTCCAGCTTGTGTGTGATACTGAAAGCACACAGAGTTAAAGCGCAATTTTTAATCCCAGGCAACTTTGAGGTCGGAGTTCACATCGCTGACGTCAGCTATTTTGTGAAGGAGGGCACCGCGCTCGACAACATGGCCTCCCAAAGAGCCACCAGCGTTTATCTCGTTCAAATGGTTAGTATACAGTGAACCCAGGTTTATCAAAGACATTGGCTGTGTATTTGTTGGAGTGAAGTGTTTTTACTGGACTTTTTTAATTCTTTGATTTTTTTTTTTTTCTTCTTCTTTTTTTAATTTTTAATTTTTTGGAGGATTTGGTGTAGAGGTGGACATTATGGACTTCTGACTTTTATCACACTATTTTGTGACATTATTGCAATAATGATAAAAATTGCAATAACGAACAATTCACAACTTCTTTTTTAGGTAACTGCTTAGCGACACAAATAGTGTTTCTGAAAAACATCCCCATTTGAAATAGGCTTCTTCAGGATACCACTGATGAAGGAAGTGCAATTTAAATTGCACATTATGACCTGGGTTTAATCCATATTTCAAATTTACTGACATTTATTGACGCTCTTAACACTGTCAAGTTCTTTTTTTTTTTTTTTTTATTTAACATGAATTGAAATTTATTGAGAAAACAATTAAGCAAAATTCTTGTCACAATGTGGAAATCTTTTACGCTAAATGACAACTGACTTTGCTGAAGGTGGTGCCCATGCTGCCCAGGCTGCTGTGCGAGGAGCTGTGCAGCCTGAATCCTCTCACCGACAGACTCACCTTCTCCGTCATCTGGAAACTCACACCTGAGGGAAAGGTATGTGTGAACGAAACGTGGTCCTGCCTCGGTTGAGAACAAAAGTGCATTTTTGACAGTGTTCCATTAAATCAAACGTAACCTGCAACTTCAGATCCTGGACGAGTGGTTCGGCCGCTCAGTCATGCACTCCTGCGTGAAGCTGAGCTACAACGACGCCCAGCGATTGATCGAGGCTCCCGAGAGGTTATTCTCTCCCGACGAGCTTCCCCCCATCGACGCCGAGCACACCGTCGACGAGGTCCACCAAGCCGTGCTCCACCTGCACTCTATTGCCAAGAACCTTCGAGCTCAACGCTTCCTAGGGGGCGCTCTGAGACTGGACCAGGTCAGCATTTCGCTGTTGGCTTCAACAGCAGGAACATTCTCAACCTTTGATGTTTTTTTTTCATCTGTTATCTCCACGCAATTTGATTATGCAGTTAAATGAAGTGACCCGTTATTGAGGCAGTAGCCAATTATTCAATGTTCTGTTTGTTTCAGCCGAAACTTTCTTTCACACTTGACAAAGAGACCATGACGCCCCAGGGTTGTTATATTTACGAATACAGAGACTGCAACAAGTGAGAATCCTCTATTGAACTCATTGTTCAAACATCACAATTATTTCATTTTTTGCCTCATATTTGGTAAAGCGTCGCACCTCATTTATTTATTTTTTTTTGGAGAAACGTCTCTGAATTAGTCATGTTTTGTTGCTTTAGGCTGGTGGAGGAGTTCATGCTGCTGGCTAACATGGCCGCAGCGACCCACATTTACAGGGCATTCCCAACACTGGCGCTGCTGCGGCGCCACCCGCCACCCAAAGCCAAGCTGGTGAAGGAGCTGGAGGTTCTGTGCAACCAGCTGGGCCTGAACATGGACTTCACCTCTGCAGGAACCATACATGTCAGTACCTTTACTTTTTAAATAAGAAATGGTAAAAACCTGTTTCGTTTTTTGGTTGTTTTTTTTTTCTTTTCTTTTCTAAATGAGCTAAATCTGTCTTATGGTGCTCAGTCAAATGTCCCCTCTGTTTCTCCATCCAACAGAAGAGCCTCTGTGCCATTTATGGAGATGACGAGTACTCGGTTTACAGGAGACAAGTCCTTAATAACATGTGCTCCAGACCCATGCAGGTCAGAACTGATCACCATTCTTCTTTTATTTGTGTTTTATTATTGGCATAAACAAGCAGCTACATTGCAAAGGCTACTTTTTAGGAAAGTAGCCTTTCCACTTTCATCTAACCAGAGCACACAAACTCTGTTTTACATTTGTGATGGTAGGACAGAAAAGCATTTTTTTTGTTTATTTGTTTTTTTTATTTTTTATTTGTCCTGCATTGCTCTGTGACAACCGCTTGGTATTGATGGTAGATATTGGTTACTACCCTTCAAAAGACCACGCCTCGTTGCAACAGTGAGCTTTATAGATTTAGTTTTTTGCATCTAAAGATGCAAAATGATATTGATCATTCCGAGACACGAAAGAGATGGACCCATCTGCGTCACGTCATATTTACACCCAAGTGAAACTGAAAGTCACAGATTATTAATCAGAACATCGATTCACTAACAATTTAAAGCTTCAATTGAACAAGTGCTTCGGTTAGATTCATGTAAGACTTTACCCAAAATGATTACTTTACAAAAAATATTTTATCCCATAAAGTTATAATAAAAATATGGATTGGGTTTTTCTTCAACTTTTAACATGAACTGATACTCCTCAGTAAAACACCACTAAATTTACTAAATTCTATATTCTTTTTGTTTTGTTTTTTTAACATTGTTCCTCCAGAATAACAACAAATTTGTCCGTGTCAGCATGTCCTGCAAAACTCTACAGACTTTTTTTGCTGAAAAAAAGGAGATTTTTGAAAATGTATATCTTTTTTAAATTTAAAAAAAATACTGATTTTAAAAGGGAGGAAAAACACTTCGTTTATTGAGAAATGACTAATTCAAGAAGTGTTTTTGCTCTGAATGAACATTTCGCCCTGCCTCCATTACCATTAACATTACTGATGAAAAGGAAAATGCAGTAATGATGTGTGCTGTTTGTGTCCTCAGCTGGCCTTGTACTTCTGTACCGGTACGAGGCTGGAGAGGGAAAATTTTCGGCACTACGCTCTCAACGTTCCCCTCTACACTCACTTCACGTCACCCATCAGGCGCTACCCTGACATCGTCGTGCACCGGCTGCTGGTGGCGTCTTTGAGTACGTCCCACAAACAATGCCAGAAAATTAATGGCTGCTTCTGTTGTCTGAACTAGGGACAGAAAAACACACCCAGACCTCCAGATCACCCAATGCATTTGTATTGTTTTCTGTCTGCCTCTGTAGCTCCTTTATCGCCTTCACGTGCTTTTTCTTTATCCGCCATGTTTGTAATGTTTGTCTTTCATTGCTGAACGTTTGCACGCAGACCTCGGGCCTTTGTTGGGCCTGTCGACAGAGGAAGTCCAAATGCGGGCGTTGCACTGCAACGATAAGAAGACTTTGTCCAAGAAAGTGCAGGAGCTCAGCTCTGAGCTTTACTTCGGAGTGTTTGTGAAGGTGGGTGACATGAAGTTTTTGAATTCCATTAAAGAAGCAAAAGATGGTTATACTTCGTACTCGTTATTTGAAAGTGGAGACCCAAATGACATGTTTTAGTAGGAAGGCTGTAGTAAGCTATTTATTATGAACAATGGCGCGCACAGACATTTTAGGGGTCAGGAGCTCAAGTGGAAAAAAATGGCACCTTGGAACTTCTTCCCCACATCTATCAGCATCAACAACTCTGATGAAAATTATATATACCTTTAAGTATTTTGTCATTTTGCTCCACAGGAGTGTGGCCCACTGGAGTCCAAAGCCATGGTGATGGGTGTGCTGGATAAGTCCTTTGACGTTCTGGTTATCAAATACGGAGTCCAGAAACGCATCTACTGCAAGGTCAGCTCAACCAACATCACTTATACTGCTTTAATCCCAAGTTTTTAAAAATGTGTTTTTGCTGCATATTATTTTTAATTCTAGATTTCACTTTCTTTAAACTTTTTTTTTCTTTCTTTGTCTGAGATGTTATTACGACCATTTCTTTCCCACAGTGCCTCGAAAACCTTCCAGCGAGTCATATCTACAGTAATAAGTAGCGTTTTTATGAAGCGGTTTTAAACTCATTTCTCTCCTCTCAGTCCGTCGCGGGCCTGGACTCGTACCGCTACCAGAAGGTGGAGAAGGTCCCGCAGCTCGTGCTGGTCTGGACGAGCGACGATGAAGAAAGTTCCCCTGTAGAGCAGGTGAGAACCACACAGACACTTTTTCTGGTGAATTGAGTGAAACTATTGTTGCAACTTTAGATAAGTTGGACTAACTGTCTTTAGGAATCAAATTAGATAAGAAACTGTTTAAAAAAAAAGATAAAATAAATAAAAGTTGCCGCAAGTTATTTAAATTTTGACATTGTTACGCTGTTTAACATTACATTTTATATTTTTGTATTCGCAGTGTCAGTAACACGATTCATTTTAAGAAGTTCGAACAAATGTTCAGATTCTCGGCTCACAATTCTCACTCTATTTCATAGTTTAAAAAAAGTCAACTCTGTAGTGTTTATTTTTTATGCCATGATTTCTTTTTATTTACCTTTAAAATGTTCTTTCTTTTATTACAAATTATTTTAGTTTAAATGCACAACAGATTTTTATGGCCTTCCTGATGCCAATTTTGGATGATTTGAGTTTCTCTTTACCAACTTTTAATATGAAGATTATAAAAGCATGGTTAAAATAAATATAGAGCTTTATCTCTTGTATTGACAATTAACGTGCTAAGCATGAATAAACCAGCATAGAAAACTGCAAATTGCAGCTTATTAGTTTCGTGTCCGAAGGTTCAAATCTGATTCCTTGATAAGGTTAAAGATCCAAAGGAACTAATGATGAGAAAATCCATTTTTATTCAATTTACACCGTTATTTACATTTGCAAGCAAAGAAATGGCACTTTTAGCCTTAAACTGTTTCTGGACCCTGACAAATGGTAAATTTTGACAGCTTATAGGTAAGCGATATTTTGTGGCACGAATGTGATAACGACAAAAGTAATGCTAAAAAAAGTATTTATAACTTCTTTGAATTCTTTCTAGGTAACTGTACAACTGCAGTGATATGACACATAAATCATAGTTCCATGAACACAAATATGGCTCTTGAACAACATATAGACTTCTTCAGAAAATCAGTTACATAAAGGGAGTGTGTTTCTTTTTTTTTGAGTCAGTTGACATAAAAGCAAAGATGTATCAAGATTACATGGAAGCAAATCGATGTTTTGTTTTGTTGTTTTTCTTTTCTCCCCAGGTAATTTCCATCTTCTCTGTGGTGGACGTGCAGCTCAAGGCGGATGAAGTGCCTCTGAAATACAGCGCGTTGCTCAAGAGGCCAGAAAGCACTGCTTCATAAAACAACAGCTTGCGGAAAATTGAGACTTGCACGTTTTTGTTTTGTTCAGTAGGAGTGTGACTGTGAGCTTCGATGTGATACTGCGTTGTAGCCGCCGTCATATCAGAGTCACACCTCAGCACAATTCCTGTGAAAGGAAAAGATTTCATGAAGGTTTGGTTTTTAGTCTTTTTAACTGACCTCACTCAGCGGCTGCCCACTCTCCAAGGTGGTAGGTTCCTAGAAAACGATTTCCACCACCATACAGCAGAAATATTTCAGTGTTTCCCAACTTTCTTTACATGGGACAAACGGCATTTGTGTTATTTCACTAAATAATTTTTAAAAGATTCAAAATCTGCTTGTTAGTGTTCTGGAAAATGGGCAGCTGCAATGTGAATCTTACTACAAGGTGTTAAGTGTTTCTGTGTACATGGAAGATCCAGACACTTTTCTGGAACTTTCTTAATATAACAGAAATGATCTTTTATTATTTTTCTTGACCAGATTAGGTCAGTTTTGACGTACTATGATTTTAGTTCAGTTTCATTTATGAAACCAGATTTTGAAACCTTGTTTCAGTTTGACATTGGTGACATTTTCTATACAAAAAAAGGGAGGAAAAAAAGCCTTTGTGTTAGATGCACCCACAAAGACCTTGTGTTGTATTGCACTCTCCCAGCTTTTGCTCTCGGCTTACTTTCTGTGACTCGGACAAATTTTGACCAGCGTGACTCAAATAGCGAAACAAGTTTCATCTGGACGTTGACAACGGGGTTCCAATCAGAAGTTTACATACACGAGCAAATGTTTGGTATGTTTGATACGATGTACAAATTAAATTTACATTTTTTTTCTTCTTTTAGACAGAAGTTAGCATTTCCTTTAAAATACAAATTTACACATACTAGATCAGATATATTCATACACAACCTTCAGTATTTGCTTTAAGGCCCTTTTGGACGTTGTAGAAAAGCTACCAGGTGCAAGTCTGGATGGATATTTTCCCACTTTTACCAGGTTAATTTAAAATAGTTGGTTTCCTAGAGCAGATATAGCTTTTGCACTTTTACAAGCATTTCTGGTCTAGTTTCTAGTGCTAATGTCGTATCACAAGTAAAATAAGACGAAATTCACTTATAAGTAACTTCATCAAGAAATAGGAGCTTGTTTTAAGTAAATAATTCCTTAATACTGTTGAAAACATATTTCTTTCACTGGCAGATTGTTTCACCTATAAAATGGGGGAAAAAAAATCTTGTTAGAAGTCAAATAATCTGTCAATGAAACTAAAACTTTTCATCAATATTAAGGAATTGTTTACTTGAATTCAGCTCCTGTTTCTTGCTGAAAAGTCACATGTAAGTGACTTTTGTCTTATTTCAATGACACTCAGATATTTGCACTAGAAACTAGACCAAAAAAAGACTTGGTGTATGAGCAGTGTAGATGCTAAAATATTGAAAAACGAGAGTTTACAGTCAACTTTGACCTCTGTAGTTCCTGGGTTGCTCCTGAACATTGTGACCTGTTTTTCCGTCGCCTGAGTCTGGTCCTTCAGGACAAAGATCAGGTTGTAAAAATTCCCCCCTGACTGCAACTCTTCCTTTTTTTTCAGCAATATGTGCTGGAAACCAACTCTAGTGCTATTTCTTATGAGAGGATTACTTTAAGACGGGGGTGTCCAAAGTGCGGCCCATGTGCCGCTTGTGGCCCTTGGACTGATTTTGTGCGTCCCCCCAGCTGTAGTTCAAAAGTGACACAAATTTGGCCGGTAGATTCAAATGGAGGCTTTTTTCTTACACAAGAAAATGTAACGTGTAACACAAAGTATTTGTCTTCTTCTAAGTTTTAACAAAAGAGGAAATGTACGTACTCCTTTTTTTTCCATCTACAGTGGTCCTAAAATTGCTTTCACATTTTGAATCCGTTATGAATTTTGGGCTTCTTTTATTTGCCTGATTTTAGGTAGTGGTTTTTGGTTTTTTTGTTGTTTATTTTTTATCCGCGACTACTTTTAAATCTACAATGTTGACCCACGTGGCAAATAGTTTAGACAACCCCCACATAATTATGCCACAAAGCCACAGTTTCTCTGCAGTGTGCCAAGGGTTGTTTTTCCTTATCTTAGTGAGAGTGGGCTTTAAATCAACCATATAAATACTTCTCTCAGTTCTCTCTCGTTCACCCTGTTGTTGTCTGGAGAAGACTTGAAGTTGGATGTTGTACTATGAAACCAGTCCAAGTATAAAAGTTTCAGATAAACTGTGAAGTGAATGTGGAAATCCTACCGGAGATGAGTGGAAGTTAACTTCTGAGAGGAGCAATATGCTGATATGTATGGAGTCCTACTAGAATTTATACTGAATAGTGATAATAGTAATAATAACACAGCATTTTGTTTTGTTTGTTTTTAAAGAGTCACTTTTAGCTTTCAAACCCCTAAGAGTTTCTGTTTACATTTTACATGTTATTGTTCTGAAGAAAAGAAGATCTCTGCAGGTATTTGTTTAGAAGCTCACAGGACTTTTATTTAAATTACTAAAAAAAAAAAAAAGACAAAGTAAAATAGGATCCGACGTGTTGTTGCCATGCTCTCTTGGTTCAGCGTGCCAGTTAAGCCAAAGCTAAAACTCATTGGAATGACTTGAATGTGAAAGCTGCTAAAACGTGGGTGGCCTTAGAGGCCTTAATGAATTTATTCTTTGCAGACGTGCTTCCAACTGCGACTACTTTCTTCTCTTTTTTTTTTCTTCTTTTTGCAATAACGGATTTGCAGATTTGATTTCTGCAGCAGCAATGCGCTTGTCCTTAATCAAACATTAATTTAAGTCTTAAACAAATGATTAAATCAGGAGAGACTGGCCACCACATACTACTGTTCTTACCTGTTTTTTTTTTGTTAAGATTGTGACTTTTTTTAAAAAAAGAACTACTAGTTCATTTTGAATTGTTCATTTCACCTGAGTGACGGTAGAAAATTGTGATTTAGTCATAGGAGAAGATAAAATCCAAAAGCGGATTTTTGTAAACTTTTTGAGAACGTTTCTTTGTCAATTATAGCCTAGATGTTCAGTATATAATGTTTGTTCATTCTGTCTCCCAAAGATTGTATTCAAATGTCTGTCTGTTTTTTGGCTTCAGAATAATACACTTATCAACCCAAACTGTTGTGTTTCACTTAAGTGTCACTTGTCTTTGGCCGAGTCGCTGAAGAGAGGGAGCGGGACACAATGTCTCATCTAGGACAGGCAGAACATTGAGTCATCAGTTCGGCTTGTTGCTCTCCAACATACCTCTACTGTTAACGTCTCGCGAAGAAACAGATAAGACCCATGTTTGTTTCCAAGGCGTGTCTTCCATCATTAGTGATAAATGCCCTGGTGCAGTATCACTCAGATAATGAGGCGGGATCAATATTAATATACAATGATGAGGGACTTCGTCAATAAACTGGACAGAAACTGCTGCTCTAAGTTTGGGCGTGTCAGTTAAGATACTGACGACTACAGCAGCCACCAGAAGACCTCAAGTGAACAGTTTTTTTGTTGTTGGCATGTTGGGGCCTTCGCACTTGTGTACTTCATCCTGGGAGTTCTTCATCAGGGCCTCAGTGACGCTGGTGAATGATAGGTAAAAAAATCAAATAAAAATGATTGAGCAGGGATCATTTTCCATCATTGTTTTGGCGCCCCCTGTTGAGCAGTGGGTACGCCTTGCGCAGTGCACTCCCACTATTTCTCCGCCACACAAGTCATAAAAAAACCTTAAAGGGTCTCAAACATGTCAATATCAAATCTCGACAGGGCAATTTTAATCTGGTATTTTCTCCCAAAGTTTTATGTCGGGGAAAAGGGGAGCGCGGGAGCCACGCGCGGACATCTTCACTCTTGTTCTGCGTCACGAGGCGTTTCCGGCCACTGGTAGCCAGCTGCTAACTTCCACTTGCTATCTGCCTTTTTTCTGTTTTTCTTTTGTCTTCCGTCTGCTATGGGTAAGTATAAATGTGTAGCCGGTTGCCTGAATGGCTTTACGAAGTCGTGTGCGTAAAAAGAAACTTTTAAGTTTGGCATTAGCAGGTTATGGCTGTAAAGAAACAAAAATAATGGCCCAAGTCATTTTTTATGTTTTTTTCCCCCTAAAAAACACATCTTGTGGGGAAGGGGGAAAGAGGTGGTTTTTATTTTATTTTATTTATTTTTTATTAAAAAGGAAAAACAAATAAAGGCGTAGGCCATTACTTTAGAAAGGTGACGACATACCGTGTGAGGAGCTCCTCGGCAGCCACAAACATACTACAGAGATTTATCAATATATGTCAGGCTCAATTGTAATACAAGATCCTCCAAACATTTCCTATGTGTATATTTTTGGGGGGCTTCAATTTAACTCAAAGTGGCATTAAAAGATGTCTTAAGTCTTAAATTTGACTTGCTGATCCAGGGAGCAGAAAAAACGTGACCAGTCTGGGTTGAACTCCTGAGGGAAGCTATATGGCCAGGAGGAAGTAGTTTTTAAGCTCTGCTGTTTATCTTTATTGGTGTGGCAGCGAGATGCTCCCTTACGCCTTGGATTTACACAAGCAGGGTCCAAAGGCTGCACATAAATTCATTTCACCACTGACCCTGGAAAATTGACGTCAAGGCAGTTTATGTAAACTATTAAATAACAGAAGCATCAATGCTGATGTTGTGGCAGCTTCCCATAACAAAACTTCATAGATTGAGTCTCAACATTTGGTTGCCTGTTTTCTCCTACATCCAGTCAACCTTACGTTTGATTGACGCACGATGTTTAAACAAAGGCGGCAAGTTTACAAAAGTTTCTTTCAAGTTGAGGGAAAAGAACTGGCAAAATGCTACCCTGGGGGATGAGGGCGGATTCAGAAAGAGGTCATTAAAGGGGAAGACAGCTGTTAACCTCTCCAAGTTTCATTTCCTTTCCATTAGTCGGTCCAAAGTCAAAGCCTCATAAACTGTCCGTCAGTCATAGAAGAGCTCTGCTTCCTCCTTCCTTATACCGAGTCGGCTACCAAACGAGCTCAAGCCAAGTCAGGAGGCTTAATGAGGATCACGAACCAGAGCATCCAGGGGTTTACTTCCTAATTATTTTTGGTTTATGGTATATTTTTTTCTTTTTTTTTTCCCACTTCTAAATATTTGACAATTTAACTCAGAACTCACAAATGGACTTTGTTGAACACAATGAATTACGGTGACATAGCTCAAAGTTAACTTAAGAAACTTGTGGATTTCACATTTGGATTTATTTCAGGGAGCTGGAAAAGCCTAATTCAAGATGCTGAGAAAGGTGAGACTATTTGTGTCTTGTGTTTATATTTTATGTTTTAAAAAGTTCGCTTATCAGATCTGGCTGTTATATCACCTCTGTGTCTATTCATAAACCCCAGCCACACGATAACCTGTAGGATGCAAGAAACTACACGAAGCTGTCAATGAGTTTGCCATTGTTTTGTTTCCAGGGAGAATGGGTGTGGGTGGACTCAAAGATCGGGGTCCCCATTGGAGCCCGAGTCAAAGAAACGCCATCTGGTCAGAGGCTACTGGTGGACGATGAAGGAAATGTACGTAACCTCTGATGGCAAAATGGAAAAGAAGGGGAAAAAAAGTCTCCATCTGGCACTGAGCGCGTTTTCTCTCGATGTTCCCTCAGGAGCGGCGCCTGTCCCTGGAGGAGGAAGCCTCGCTCAAGATCATGCACCCGACATCTGTGGAGGGGGTGGATGACATGATCAAGCTCGGGGACATGACGGAGGCTGCCCTCCTCAGAAACCTGCTGCTCAGACACAAGCAGGGCCACATCTACGTGAGTCACATGCTCACTCAGGAAAACACTGTGGATGATTTTCCCTTTCGGTCCCAGAAAACCCGCTGTTTTACACCAGTTTGTTCATGTGGAGTCATCTTTTAGAGGTTTCCACAGTAAGACATAGTAGAATACCTGCCTGGGTAAAGAAATTATATGAGTATTCACCTAGTTAAAATATTTTTAGTGAGCCACAAGGCGAGCATTGCACACTTTCTTTTTAAGCTAGTTTCTCAAATGTCTTCCTTTGGAAATGCAATTTCTACCCAAAAATACATGTAGTGGCTCTTTATAAAGTTAAAGATGAGACCAAAATAAATAATCTCTTTCCTCATCTTTCATTAGACACGTACTCTGTACAACTTAAAGGAAAAGTGAATCTGTTGAAGAAAATAACTATGTTCCTGCTACAACCTGGTTGTGTAAGTGTACGCCCTTTAGTACACAGCCACAGCTCAGAGCTAGCTACTGGAACATTGGGACGGCAATAACTAATAGATAACTATTAGCTATTGTTTGTGCCACACAACCATAACAATAGAGCTAATAGATAACAACAGCTATTGGCTGTTTGCTAATAATAGCTAATGACCTCTCTGTAATAGCTTTAGCTAAGCAACCATGCAAATTTCAGAAAAATCCCAACAGAGAGTTCAGCTTCATTCTTGGTTAATCAGATTCTCTGTAACTGATGGCAACTGTGAACTCAAAAGACTTAACGCTGAAAACATTAAAACATATTCTGGTTTAAACTGTACAAATATGTCACTTTGAAGGTGGGGGAAAAAATGTTGAAATAATCTCAACAATAGTGTATCGCAGAGATTTTCCAAACAAAAACAAGCTAAGGGTTTGACACTCAGGGTGAAGAATTTTTATTTTTCTGGATTTATTATATAATTTCAATTTATTTTTACAATTTATATATTGTAAAAAGTTCATAAATAAGGAACTTTTGATCCTTCTCCTGAGATCAAATCATATTTTTCTCCTGCTGACCAAAGATCACATATTTTTGTTCTCCAGACCTTCATAGGTTCAGTTTTGGTGGCCGTGAATCCCTACCAGGATTTTCCAATATATTCGGCCGAACAGGTAGGTTTCTGCCTCTTATCTCCATCCATTACAACCTGCAGCCGTCTCCACCAATCACCAAACATCCTTCCGTTCTGCAGGTGAGTTTATATCACAGCCGGAAGCTTGGAGAACTCCCCCCGCACATCTTTGCCATCGCGGAGTCCTGCTACTTCAACATGAAGCGCAACCTCACAAACCAGTGCTGCATCATCAGGTCGGAGACCGCCACGCGCTGCCCTGGGTTACACTTCGCTCGCTTGTATCCTCTGCTTCCTGTTCATCCCTGTTCCTTCTTTTCTCGCAGTGGGGAATCCGGAGCAGGGAAGACGGAGAGCACAAAACTGATCCTGCAGTACTTGGCAGCGGTCAGCGGGCAACTTTCCCAGCAATCGATCGAAAATCAGATCCTGCAGTCCAACCCGATTCTGGAAGGTACGCCAGCAGCACCGTTAGAGTGTTTTCACAACTGATTGTTCAGTAGACCTGGTTCGATTGGGATGCAGTGTTGGAACGTTTGCTACATTTCTGATGGTGCGGTTTGCTTTCACACTGCACTCTGTGAATCGATCCAAACTAATTGAAGAACTGATTGTTTCCATCCTCGCCTGTGGAGGCGCTGCACCAAGAACCGCTGAAGGAAACGACACAAACACCTCAGAAGAAGACATTGACTGCAACTTTCTCCTTCAGAAAATGTTCACAAAAATGGTGTAGCATCAAGTTTGAGCAGTTGTAGGATTTCTCATTTGTCATTGGTAAAAGACCACAAGTTATCGCCAGACACAAGCATTTGTTTTTGGTATTATTTATCCAGAATGCCTTGTGTTGTTGGCTGCTGCCTGTTTTTGGAGCAGTCTCTCGTTCGCTTGGCGTTCACACATCCATTCGAAACGCACCAGAGTTCACTTCAATCAAACCGATGTGGACTGGAGTTCGCTTTTTTTGTTCCGCATCAGAATTGGATTGTGCATTCACACCTCCCCAAATGAACTGGACTTTCTATTCAAACAAACTAGAGTTCTTTTAAAGCGGGCTAAACAAAGTTGATGTCAATCCATTCTCATTTGCTCTCAGGCCCGTGTGAACAAAAAAAGCAGTCGTAGTGGATTTTATAAAAAATAAAAAAAAAAGCATGGTTTTCTGCTTCTTTCAGCTTTTGGGAACGCCAAAACAATCCGCAATGACAACTCCAGCCGCTTTGGCAAGTACTTGGAGATCTTCTTCAACAAAGACGGGGTGATCGAAGGAGCTCGTGT